TATATCGGCGAGAAGGATTCATTAGTAGTAAATTGGTAATGGACAATCGTCGATTATGTCCTCCTTTTATACTGCAAAACGCTTTTGTGCTAATTCTGGATGATATGATTTTAGAGTAGGCAATGAACGCGTATACATACTTCGGTGCCGTTCCCCAACTATACGATGCAGCTTATGATGTAACCTAACACAAGTACTACCTGACGTTGCATTGAGACATGCATTTGCACATTTTTCTTCTTTTTTTCCTTTTCTCTTCCATTATCTTCGTCATAAGCATAAGGCTCGTCTTACTTGCTGCCGGTTCGCGTTCCTGCATGTATCTATATCCAACTCGCAGCAGATAGGACCCCCCTTCATTGCCTAATCCAATCAAGCCGACTCCTTTGTTATTCCTATTATGCAATCTGCGTATAACACATAACGGTCTCAGGAGTTCCGTGTAACGCCACGTGGTCTTCTTAGCATGTAAGACGGCTTCCCGAAACAGCTTTTGGCTTTTCGGTTCGTGCCCGCGGATTACCTACGCACACCACCATGATACATTCGGGGCGGCTTGCGGGTATACCGCCTAGTTTATTCTGTTCGAATTACGATCTCCTCGGAGCTCCCTGTTGATTTCTAGAGAAAAAGCGTTGCCTATGTGGGAGCTGGAATTACATGTTACATGTGGCGTTCGGGCTGTGACGCTGCACCAGCTATTGGGAACTGGAGTCAGTCAGCTCGGAACAAGATAGCATAACGTGGAAAACCCGCGATGATACATAATGATCTCAGTTCGACCCAGCTTTCGTGCTACAGAGGCACAAGAAATCGAGGTTCGGCAGACCTAAGCCGCGATCCGAGTTTAGGCGGCCGAACTCCATGTTCGCAGGAACCCAGGTTGAAGGCAGCTGGATAAGTACCGTTACCTTAGCTATTATAGCAATACTACTGAATTGGGGAAATATGCCTTAATTTGACTGTTTTTAATAGATTTGCCCCTTTTTGCGGAAAGGGGGGGGGATATACCCCGGCCATTACTTGAGGTCCCCGAACGACAAGATAATTAATATTATGTAGGGAGGAGGCTTCCAGGTTTAGTGATATCCGTAGGGCTGTCTGAGTAGAAGAAAATGGAGAACCTCACTCTCCAGACCCAATTGGGAGGTTTGCCAATAGTAGACTATTAAGTTGATTGTGGAGCAATGTATATCTTTAGACGTAGGCTGTTCAACAAGGCTTTAAGATGCCAGATTCCTACGTTAATGTAGTGACACCTGAGACCTCGTGGGGGAAGATGACATGAATCGGGAATGGTTGCCTGATATCTCGAATAATACGCCCCAACTTGAGCAATGACCCAGGAACTTATTAATTCTGGGGCTACGGCGTGGAAAGACGGATATAAAGATTTTTTTTTCTTTTCTGGTCGCGGTTGGTAGATCTTCCAAAATAGTTAATTTGGTAGACTCGGTCGATAATATGGCGAGTTTCTGCGACACATTCCTAACTAGCAGCCCTATATTAAAACCAACTGACATAATTAACGGTATATGTACGTGATATGTATGTGGTATGTATGTGGTGATGGGGTCCAATTACAATTGAGCTGGACCTGATGCAAGAAACATCAAGCCTTGCGGCAACAAGTGGCGAAGACATGAAACGGCCACCAACCTGCGTTGGGTTCAAGTACCCAGGTTTGACGCTCGTGGGGGCCGAATCGCATTAGAATATTACAAGCTCTTAATTGGACACGAAGAGAAACGACTTGACACTGCCTTGGTTATTTACCTAGGTACGGGTTAGTCCGGGTTTTGACTCACTTGTTAGCGGTCTAAAATTATAATTGTTAGAATTGAGTCATGAGAGTCACGAGAGTCACGAGAGTCACGATGAGATGCGATGGTTCATAATGATATGTCCCCTTGTCTAACTGTTCGAGTGAATTCCTCAAAATGCCGTTGCGGACCGGACTATAGAGGGAAAATTGAGGTGATGTAACCACGGTGGTTCCGAACTGGCGGAGAATCTCTGACGATCGGAGCAGTGCCCCTCTGCCGTCAGGCTTGCAGATGTTACTTACATAAGGCTATGCTGGAGAATAATCTGTCCGTCGGGGTATGTAGAATGTGGAATGTGGAATGTTTTAGTTTTGTAATATCCTATATCTAGTATACGGTGCCAACAGTGTGTTGTTGTTGAGAGGTGAGAAGTGGGAACCTCGTAAGGCGGGTAAGAAAAAAAAAGAAGGGGAAAAGAATATATTTGTTCAAGTATTTTGGGCGCTGTAAACGGCGTATTTCATGTATTGTATTGTACCTAACCTATCTGAGATAAGCAGATAAATACAACCTTCAGTGAAAAGACGTCGAAGTTGAAGAATAATAAAAAAGAAAAAGAACAATCATGTGGCTGTGCGATTATTCAAAAATACTAAGTATAAGTCTATAACAAATAACAAATATATAACATAACCTTTTTAATTATGGACTTGATTCTATATCTAGCGCATCTCATATCTTTATTACTTCATACTGCTAGATTGCTTAGGTAGGGTAGATGATGCATCTAACAAGTTTTACATACCCGTAGGTTAGTAAAGTACCTAACCTAAGGCAGATAAGTACCTAGACATGCCTAGTAAACCACTGATAGAACCATTAATAAAGCGAAAAGAATTTCAGCTATAAATAGGAGGTACCTACATATCTACCTAATCTAGGTAAGCCTAAGATATTTTCCATACAGGGTACCTAGGTAGTATCCCATACTGAAATAAGCTAGAAACATACCTAAGGTAAGCACTAGGTACAGGTATGGTACAGACATCCATGTAATCCAATGCCCCACTATCTTCAACCACCATCTCAACTACAACTGCTACAGTGTGTCTGGTGTGTGTGTGATTTTACCTCGTGGCAAATCCCTGTCTCCTTGTGGGACTCGGACCATAAGAAAACAACAAATCAGAAGATGAGATGGGCTATTTCATCGATATGCTGTGCGCTTGGGGACTTTCAGCTCTACCGTAATCAGACCGTTGGGGTTGCTTCGGATCTCAACTCGCGTGCGTCCTGTTGTCCTGTTGCTACGAGAACCAGATCGCGTGTCTTATTTCGCTAATTGATACGGCATTAATCCAAGGAAATGTCCCGAGTCCTCAGATTCCATACATACCTACCTATCCATACCTAGGTACCTACCTACCTAGGTAATATGTACCTAATGTAGTCCACATTTACCCCTAGATACATTACTGGGTATGCGATCTGGTGCGGATAGGCGGGTAGACAGCTAGGTCTGTACCTAGGCAGGTACCTATCTGTATCCGTATGCCGGAGACGGGACTGACCTCCCCGGGAAGGAGCTGTTTATGTGGGTACCTAGGTACACCTGGAATGCTTTAGATTGGCTTGGGTTCGTCTTTTGTTCGTCTGGGATATCAGCCTGGGCTGAGTCACCGGCCAATGACAAAAACCTCTAAATTAGGTAAGAGTAGGTATGTATACCTAAGGATATTGTTTTTCACCATATTTACTTACCGACGCGCCTTTCGTAGTCTGATTATTCGAGTGATTATGTATGACGCCTGTTCTTTTTTTTTTTTTTTTTTCCCTCTGCGAACACTTTTAAAGACGGGCCTGGAGAGACCGAGTAATGATGATGACTCTAGATTACTGTCGTTTCCTAACCGAGCATGGTGAACCATGTTTTGCAGATGCCACAAGTCTCGAAAAAGCAAGTCCCCTGCCACTCAAATCCGAGAAGGGCCCGTATGGAACACTAAATCTGGGTACCTTACATACATCGACGAACCATGCGAAATGCTGTGGTATGTAATGAACATCTGTAATACCACATGCGCAGCGATGTTCCAAGATAGATCATAAGTTCAGGGTATTTAGGAGGGAGGGAGGGGGGATGTTACCTCGTTACCTATACTAGGGAACTCGCGTGATAACAGGCTACCTCCTACTGGCTAGGTAAGGATCCGTATAGAGAATAGTGAATAGGCCTTACTGTTGAAGTTTACCGCTTGATTGGTTAAGAAGCATAGCGAACCGAAGAGTAAAAGTTTAGCTGATATATATAATTACATTCTAGTTATAGTATTCGTCTGAAAACCAATAGGCAGTAAGTTCACCCCTTTACGATCTCCCTCAATTACCTCAATTGCGGGTAACGATATGGGAGCCCTTGGACTTATTCGGTCTCATTGGTTAGAAAAGAAAAAGTCGAAAAGAAAAAAAACAAGGGGGGGATTAAAATTTCAAATAATAGCAAGGTTACATAAGGTAGTACAAGGTAAAATATAGAAATACAGAAGTACATATACCCCTCCAACTTCAGCCCTATCTGACATTTTGATCCAAAAGCGTATGAGTGTGTGCCCCGCTGGCCCCCAAAATTAGAAGACCGTGTGCCTTCCATGCGTTTTTCTTCGCGCCTTCTCTGCAGGACCGATACCAACAGCTCGGAGTTTATGTTGCAAAACATCTGCAGTGCGCGGCCCCCCCCCCCCCCCCCCTCCAAAAAAAAATCAAATAAAAAAATCGGGTGGCCTTGTATACATAGTACCTTACCTTCTGCCACCACCACTACTAGCCACCTTGCAACCTTTACAACCTTACAACCTTACAACCTGCAGCCTCTAGGTACCCTCCTTTTCGAGCAACCCACATGCGACTCCACGCACACTATAAGCGTCATGGCGCCAAATCTAGAAAATGGGGACCCTTGTTTCAAAGAAAACAAAAAAAGCAAAAAAAGCAAAAAAAGATAGCTTAAAGTGGTTCCCTAAAGCATGTCATACATGATACGTACCTAAGCCTTGACGGCTTTCCATGTACAGAGCTACCTAGGGTATCTAGTTGGCTTACACTACGAACTTTCTGCTGACAGGGCCCTCAAGGCTCTATTTTGGCCTCGTACCTTTTTTTATTATTTTATCTTCAGTTCTTTATGTCATTATGATTAGTTAGTTACCTGGTATTAGTATTTTTATTTTTATTATTGTATCTCGTTTAGGCCCACACCCCCCCTAACCTCTATCAACTAACAAGCCTTGAGATTTGCTGGGTCTGAACGGAATCCTTCCCATGACTACCACTACGTTCATCGAGGTTCATGGAACCCCCCCGTAGGCAGTAGCAGGTAATAGAGACGTTTCCGCAGCAATACTAACTACGCCGGCAGTCTGGGTTTCTCAGCCCGGGGGCCACCCCTGCCCTTCCCACCAACATGGTCCGGTCAGCTAAGGAACCGCGCACCATTCACCTCATCCATCATGATGGGCTGTGTTTCGTATATTTTGACATATATAAGATGTTCAACTCCCTGGTTTTGAGGCATCTCTCATTCCTCATCATAACAGCAAGAACGTCAAAGAACATTAACAAGATCAAAGCAATAATACAAATCCTCCTCCAACCTCGCCTCTCAAACAAGACATATCATTACCTCGCAACAACACCATCTCTTGCTTCACTTTTCCTTAACTGTTGCTTTTCATTATTGTATCATCTAAGATTTCGTCTCTCTCTCTCTCTATATATACCTCACTATAAACTCAACCGCACAATAATCACAATGGCTGCTTTCACTTTCACCACCGCTTCTGGCCCTGCCAACTTCGGCCGAAGCGGCTACAACAAAGACGGAGACTCTGAGGACGACAAGCGAAACTTTGGACGCAGCGGATACAACAAGGGTGACGACGAAGACGACAAGAAGAACTTCGGACGAAGCGGCTACAACAAGGACGGCGACGACGAAGACAGCCGGCTCAGCAACTTCGGCCGGAGCGGCTACAACTAAAGAAAGAGATAGTCCAGCAGCGCTCGACTGTGACCCGGCCTTTTGTATCACCAACTCGATCTCATTGATTTTCTGTACCACCAACGACAAACGAAACAGCATTTAGAGAGCATCAATTTTTTTTGTCTTCGGCATTTTGATATCAACTTTCATACTATTCGGAACTGGACGATACCACGCATAAAAGATTCATACCATAGAAAAACCATAGACGCGCAAGCACACACACCACCTGTACCAATAGCATGAGGAAAGGAATTGGGATAGACATCTGACGATTTTAGGACAGACGCATTTGCATGATGAAATAAAGAAGGGGGAAAGCATGGGGCGGCGCAAAATAGGGTATTATCATTATTCTTCATCTGTATATTTGTTACTTTGAGAATTCAAATCACTTTCCTACGCAGAACCTGTCTCAAGATATCAGTTGCAATTCCTTCCGTGTAGTAATACGCCCGGCACTTACTTCTCGAAAATGACGCCTAGGATCTCCTCCACATCCCCTACATCTCCGCGGCCCGTGATCCGTCCCAAGTCGTTCGCAGCGTAACGAAGATGCTCGGCCGCCATCGTGATATCAGCGTCTTCGCTCCCCTCAAATTGGTCGTGGGGGCCGTTTCCCCCATTCGGTTCGGTGTATCCTACGGTTTCAAGGTAATCCTCTAGATGCCCTCTGCATTTCACGAGAAGCTGTCGCTGACGTTCGGTAACGCCATGGAGGTCTTGTAGAGTGGCGGGGAGCGATGTCATCGTAGTAAACGATGTAACCAACGCATCTACGACCCCTCGGAGACCCCCTGGATCGATCTGGTCAGAACCTAGATCTTTCGCCTCCTTGCAGGAAATGGCTATCGGCTGAATCCCTTCAAGCCCGTCGACTCTGCCAAGCACTTCCTCACCGAACCGTCGAATAAGGACGCGTAAGTCGTCGTCAGGGATAGCGTCCCTCTTGTTAACAATTACTAGTCGTTCTTTACTGCCTGCCGCGAGTTTTAGCGTCTCCATATCGAAGCGGATCTGGGGTTTCCCAAGAGTATCCGCCTCGATAGAGGTTAGTACGATGATGACATCAGATTGCGTGGCTTTGACCCTTGCCCTGCGAATTCCCTCTTCTTCAACAGCTCCTATAACATCTGCGGAAGCATGCGACCCTGTTGGATCTACCGAAGCGGAGCTTCTGAATCCGGCGGTATCCGCAAACGTGCACAAATAACCTCGTATGTCTAGGTTGGCCTCGATAATGTCCCGAGTAGTGCCAGACTCACCGGATACGATGGACGCCTCCCTACCGATGATCTGATTCATAAACGAGCTCTTGCCCACATTCGGTGGACCCACAAGCGCTATTTTGATCCCGTTCCGAAGAAGTTCGCTTCGCTCGCTGGCTCCTTCGTGGACGTGTATGCTCTGAAGGATCTGCCTAACCTGATTTGTCACGTTACGGACAAGGGAGGCGGGTGACTCGTCGAAATGCTGGTCTTCGGAAAAGTCGATAAGAGCCTCCATCTCGGCCCGAGCATACAGAAGACTCTTGCGCCAGTCTTCGTATGTCCGACCCAGTGAGCCGCTGCTGCCACGAACTGCGGCGCGGCGCTGCTGCTCGGTCTCCGCAGCGAGGGTCTCGCTCAGAGCCTCGACCTGGGCTAAATCGAGCCGGTCATTGAGAAAGGCTCGTTTGGTAAACTCACCGGGCTCGGCGTAACGGATTGGGCCTTCTGCGACGCATTTAGGAATCGCGGAGAGAACGGCTTTCACGGTTGCACTGCCCCCATGCACATGCAGTTCCAGGACATCATCGCCAGTGACCGTTTTTGGATTCGGAAAGAAAAGCACCAACGCCTCGGAATCAAGAATTTCTGATTCGTTCGAACCCGGATGATACAGTGTCCTGATGGTAGCATAGCGAGGCTTTAAAAACGGTTTGCCTGGGCAGAGCCCGCGGTAGATCTTATAATTCCATCATCAGTCACGGTCGTTGGTTGGAAGTTGAGCAAGTGAAACCCTACAGATCTGCATGCGGGGCCCGAGATTCGAATCACCGCGATCCCAGCCTTGCCTTCAGCTGTAGATAGCGCATATATCGTATCATCGCGCAGCTGATAAGAATAGCGACGGACGAATCGCCCGGTAGCAATCGGATTGCCGGGATTCCAACTTTGAGCGGCCCTTGCAGATACGAGAGATACGAGAGGGGGTTGTTGATTCAGATGAAGGGAGCTGAACTGCCTGAACTGACTGAACTGTATGGCATTTTGGGACCACCTCAATCGGGTGAATACACACCTTCTGACAACGCGATGCATGGGCTATACTCCCTCTAGAACCCCAATACGGAGCCTTCGTTATATGGTTGAATCCATTGGGTAAGAAATAATATATTGAGAGGCTAACTTTATCAACGCTAGAATTATTAATAAGAGACCAAAAAATGCAGGTTTTGAATAGGTACGGATTCACAATTGCACAGCACTAACACAAAAAAGATTACTTAGTAGAGGTACCTACGTAGATAGGTACCTAGTACGTCAAAAAGGCCAGTGCGCAAGTAAAACTATCCATTATGAGGCCTATGATTGGCTGATCTGGTTACCGCCCTTCCCTAGTCCCATCCAAGACCCTCCACCCGCAACGGCAGAACAACTTTTTTTTTTTCCATTCCATTTGGGAAATCTGGAAGCGCAAGAATTCAACTGAAGCTGTTTTGCCGCCTTACCAGAACACTACCTACTCCTCAACCGACCTCCTACTTGTTCGACAAAGTTGATTAGATTTAATATTCGGGCAAGATGTCGGACGAAATTATCTGGCAGGTCATCGACAAGCAGTTTTGTAGCTTTAAGCTAAAGTAAGACTGCAAAACCCTCCGTCGTTGATTACGAGTGCTAATTTATTACCAGAACTACGAAAGAGAAGACTTTCTGTCGAAATGAGTAAGACGAATAAGTGCAGTTCCTCAACCTTGTGTTTCTAACCCGAAATATAGATATAACGTGACGGGTCTTTGCAACAGACAGTCCTGCCCTCTCGCCAACTCTCGTTATGCCACTGTCCGAGCGCACCCGACTAAGGGCACCTTATATTTATATATGAAGACTATCGTTAGTGTCTCTGGATATTTACCTTCTATCTACCTGCTAACTAGATAAAGGAACGAGCTCACTTGCCATCGAAACTATGGCAAAGAGTTAAGCTGTCACAGAATTATGCCACCGCCCTAAAGCAGATCGACGAACAACTAATCTACTGGCCCAAGTTCTTGGTCCACAAAGCAAAACAGCGAGTCACTAGGCTTACACAGGTGGCGATACGGATGAGAAGACTTGCTAAGGAAGAGGCACGCTTGGGCGAAAAGGTTGTGCCTAAGATGGCACCCAAGATCAGGCGACGAGAAGAGACAAGAGAACGCAAGGCCGAGGCAGCTGCTAAGCTAGAGCGCACAATCGAACGGGAGCTTATGCAGAGGTTGCGCACGGGCGCATACGGTGACCAGCCGCTCAACGTCAGCGAGACGATTTGGAAGAAGGTGCTTAATGCTATGGAGCGCGAGGGTGAAGGAAAGAGAGATAAGGATCTCGACCAAGGTATAGAGGAGGAGGAGGAGGAAGAGGAGGAGGAAGAAGAAGTTGAGTACGAGGAAGAAGATGACGAGCCCGATGGAGCGGTTGAGTACGTCAGCGACTTTGAAGAAAGCGATGACGACCTAGAAGACATCGAAGACTGGCTAGGAAGCGACGACTCTGACAAGGAAGAGGAGTCGGGGAGCGAAGATAGTGAGGAGGAATCGACTAAGAAGGCTGTGGGTGACAAGAGGAAGAGAGCAAGGGTTATTCGCTCGAAGCCAAAGAAGGCTGCTCGACGTGGAAAGGAGATTGAGCACGAGATTGAGCACGAGCACGAGTTTGAACGGCATAGGGAGGAACTTGCTTTCTAGGAGACATTATGGCCGTAGTTCAAGCTCTAGCATATTATGTTAGTTACGTTAAAAGTCTTGATACCCTTTAATAAATATGCAGGCGTAATTATCTTTTTTTTTTTTTTTTTCATAGAGTTTTGATGTAAAATTCAAGATATCTAAAAGTTTAAGAAGCTACTAAATACCCAGCTAGGTACCTCTAAAGTGTGAACTAATGTATTCTAGTTTCCTATTATCATGTGTCGACCAGAGCCCCCCTCGAGGTTAAAGGAGTTGCTTAGGAACACTCGACATGATATGACTGGAGAACCTTTTTTGAGACACAGCCGAAGTTGAAGCCGTCGTCGTCGTCGTGGATGGCGATTGTGAAATCAACATCTCCTCCGGCAATATATGCCCCGCTTCGTCGGAAAGATGGAGCCAATGGCGGTGATGAATATGCATTCCCCTTTCCTTCTTACCTGAAGAAGAAGAGGAGGAGGAATTGGAAGATCGTCGACATTCGCCATGGACTCCTTTGACGACAGGGTAGCCTGGGCCACTTTTACATACAGCTTGGGTGGCCGAATACGATAAGATCCTAAAGTGGCTCGTTTTGGTGAACAGCATTTTTCCATCACGGCTGAAATAGAAACCAGAGGAGATACACCGAAACAGTCCTGCTTGCATCCTCGTATATATTTCGTCCTTGGGATAGTTTTAGATTTTCCCCGTCGTATTATCTGAACCTTCACAATGGTCCGTCCCTGGTCTCATTGGATTTGGTGTTCGGGGGATGAGACGCGTGAACGTACCGTGCTGCAATCCTATAAGAGAAAATCACTCAGTTTATGGATCGCTAGCACAAACTGCTTCCGTTATATATTCTCAGTTGCTTTATCCTTTCGTCGACATATTCTTGTTCTACTTGTACTGTGAAAATGACATGGCTATGTGCTCCATTAAGGTAGCAGTGACGTTAAGACATGGGAGGTGTAAGTACCAGCGATTAGTACAGTATAAAATGTTTGAGATTTCTAACAGTGAGGCAGGGCAAGAAGCACTTCCGCCGCCCCGATGTACGCTCTGGTCTCTCTGCGCCCGTTTGTGGTTATGGCTAACTGGCGTGTAGGTACTTTTTGCCGAAATACATTCTAGGACTCAGGAACTTATTAGACGGCGGCATCGTACGGAATAACTTTACTTCGGTTGGTCTGTCCGAATTTGGGACGATGGTGTTGGGCGCAAGGCCTGATTTCGTGCTTAATTTAGGTGCCGGGTCATCACTGGAACTTGACCTGGAAGATGAGAGGCCTCAGAGACCACGGCGATATAGCTAGCTAACACGATTTATCCTAGCTTACTTATTTTACTTGTAAGGCTAAAGGACTTGGAACGACGTCATTTGCCTCCTCAAGAAGGAGGCTAGGACGAACAGTTACCATCGACTTAACGTTACTCTCCGTGGAGAAACCAGCTTCGATGACACTACAGCGATGCCTCGGCTAAGGTCCCTTGTCCTCTAGGACACCACATTGCGAGGCACAATTGACAAGTTCGCCCGGAGGCTCTTTGCAGCTCTGTTTTATTTTGAGCTAACAGAAGTACCTACAACATTTGGGTCCTGCTTTAACGTAAAGGGGAATATACTATGTTTGCGAAGGGCAGGAGACCTAGCGCTTGCTTTTGTTGGACATTTATCCATCAGCTTAGAGCCTAAGGAGATGCAATGGAATACTGCTTTCCATCTCAGCGGTTCGCCATATATACTGCCGGAACTGGTTTCTCGTAGTGGCTTAGCAGCACCCTTTGGCACCCGTACTCGTAAAAGAAAAGCTGACTCTGATTTACCGGAACGGCAATCGCAGCGTAGAAGACTTTCTTATTAAAAAGGCTGCAAAAATAGAGTGAAGTGTTAGAATCCCTTCAACATTGGTTAAATTAGGGGTCAGCTCTCCTTCTTAGATAGGTACCTTGTGAATTGACAAGCTTTTCACGATTCCGCTGCCTCCAATCTAACTATTATTCTATTAAGTGTGCATATTTGTCATTTGAAGTTGAGATAGGCAGTACATGTATATGTGGATAGGATACGAAGACTTCTTTCTTCTATTTAAACGTGAATATGATTCTAAAGATATGCGTCAACATATCCTCCAAAGATTATGGATATTAGCAGCATCGCAAATGCCCTGACGCTATGGCCCTACGTCTGCTATTAATGGAGAAAATACTTCGATCCCAAATATATCAGCAATAAGCAGATACATTTTGCCCATTCTGAAGCGCATAACTCCCGAGGTTGTACGGCGCATTCGAGAATATTCGTCCAGCAGCCTCCTCTGGCGTTTCGGCTTAGCATTGGGGCTTTCTCAACAACTTTCTACGCCAGCGTCAGGAGGGTAAAATACCAGGTATCTATGTTCGCCTAATTGGATACATTGGCCCTTCGTTATATTGTACCGCAGTGAAGCCTTCCCAGATACTTGGCCACAGGGAGCCTAATTCAAGGCAACGGTGTTGGCGCTTCTGCCCCGTAAATAGTGATCGTATACTGTCCCTGGTTTCTCTCGTTGTGGAGGTCCTCAATTCGATCTTGCTCATCGAGTACAAGACGAGCGCATCTAGATACCCAGGTGATAGTCCGCACGACTTCAGTGCGCTAAAAACATCCCTCCTCCTATTCCAGGAATCCCCCAGATTACCTCGAATTCGGTCTAGGATGGCAGCCCCTGCAGATATTGAGAAAATATCCAAATTGGCCTTTCGTGTGAGCGATCTGATGTGCTGGAGGGCATCAAGATACATTTCAATAGTTGACGTCAAGTACTCTAGTACTTGGCATGCTTCTGAGAAGCGTCCCGAAAATCGATAAATGTTCCCCCGTACTAAGGTTTTCTGCCTACCCCAGGCATTTTCGAGAGTTGAAAACCCTTTGCCTAATGAGGTAGCGTTAGGGATGGCTAATTTTTGGAGGGCTTCATCAAAACGACTCAGAGCGATATGTTCTTCGGCCTCGAAGACCGCCAGCTCTGTTCAAAGAAACCCTAGCACGTAAAATTCTGTGCTCGTTATTGTCCGTGTCATTCGATGCATCCAACAACCTGTCAGCAACTGATAGCGCCAATTCCTTTGAGCACCGAACCCCGAAGGTCGGCGAGGATATGCAGGCTTCCACTACTACAGCTAGTAGAGGCATCTTCGCAAAATATGATACTACCTGCGCGCCTACACAGAAGGAGAGAATATGATGCAAGCAAGGTAGGATCAGCTCGCATTGTCTTGAATTTCAGGTTCCTCCAGGTGCGACAGTTGTTTCTTGCATGGCTGGGCTAAGAACCAACGACAGACCTGCAGAAGTTTCTGAAAGTTATTCTCATCATCACCCCTGAGCTCGATAACGGCTGACTTCCGCAGCACGACGGACTGATCATTGGTATCAACATAACCTTGCACCACGCGGAGGCTTCTGCCCGAACCCGACACGAGGGTAACCTTGAATTATATCAGCGAAACATGAAACAAAGAGTTATTAGCATATAATTGTAAGCTGTAGGAACTCACAGAGGCTGTCTGATTATGGCGGTGTTCCTTCTTGCTCAATTGGTTGCAGCTAAACCGAGCAATGCACCACAGTTCACTGATATAGATCTTCTCGTCATCGAGTGGGTTGATGTTTCCAAGGAAGCATATCATATCCGGCTCAGAGTTGTCTTTAAGCTTTAAGGCAAAGTAGGTGCCCCAGCGGAGTCCATTTATCGTAACATGGTCAGAATATTTCCTATTCGTTTCATGTCAGCATATTGAAGCACCGGTTTGTAGCTCGTACTCCCTCAGAGTCGTTGCGAATTACTTACTAGGTAATGAACCAAGGGCTGTGGTCGAGTACAGTTTCATGCGGCATATCCTGGTCGCTGGCTGTGTATTTATCCGTTTTAGGGACCAACGCGAAGAGGTTGTAGTCGTAGAAGTATGAAATAGCCCGCATGGTATGCCAGCTGTCATAGGTATCGAACGAGGTGTTGACGGAACAATGCTCAATTAGATTATTCTCTTTAGCGAGGGTTTCAATGTGCTCTAGTGATGCCAATTGGAGGAACCTTGGGCCTCCATCCGCTGGTATCCCGGTGTCGAAGTCTAGCTCCGTACACTTTACCCCGAGATCATGCAGTTGCTGTTGGCTGAGATAGGTGGTGGAAGTCATCATAGGCTTAAGACGTTGGCATAACTTATAAAGTAGAGCCACGGATGCTTGGCTAGGAACCGGGACTCGCTGGGAATTCTTAGTCTGGCTTGAAGAAGACATTTTGATAGATGATTGCGTGGAAATAACACGGACTATGGGCTATTTTGCAGGATAAACAAAAGATATTGATTGAATGGGAAATGGAGGGAAGAGAGAAGACCTGTAGGTCAACCGCGTTCGAATTGACAACGGTACAAGTTCACGTGCGCCAGGATGGTACCGCGTTTATCAGTAAATACAGTAAATATGGGTTGAAATGGACCCACTACTTACGAACATCTGCCCTTTCGAGATTAGTGGATTCGGGTAGTATTGTACGTACCTTGCTGGGGGAATACCCTGGCTTTGCCTGACATGTAATACAGGTACGATACATATTAAAGTGGGTCAGTAAAGGGAAAAGCCTCTAGGCTCTTGCCCGCCTAAAAGGTACCTAATGTACCTGGAATACCTAATACCCAGAGTAAAATATACCAGGTATATTATTACTTATTACTATACTTATTACTATTACTATTTCAATATACCCACCATGCGGCTTGTTTGTGTTGCCGACAACGGGGAGGAGAGTTTGGATATGGTAACTGCTATCCAACGGGATCCTTACGTAGTCCGTGGATTATTGGTAGATGCGATTATTCAGTGTCAGCAGAGTCTCTCAGACACGTTAGATTTCATCCACGCCGAACGGGCCATACGTGATGCCCTCCTTGCCTTTGAAGGAACCCAGGATAGGTATGCACGCGCCTATGTGCTTAGTCGAACACTCGATCATCGAAATAGGAACACGCCGAGAGCAGATCTCATCAGCTTAGCCTTCGGCCGCGGCGGTCCGCTTTCTCTCGTGGGTATCTTCAACGCCACTAGCGATGCTCATCGCAACCCCCGTAGCCGCGAAATACTAGATTATTTTCTTAAAAAGGCGTCCCACGAGTCGCAACTGCAGCTCATCACGAGGGCGAGCACATTCCCCTGCAACCCGTCGATGAGTGAATGGTTGAGTCGGATCCTGGATAGGCTAGCACCTAACCCTCAAAACCTCGCTTGTGTTTTGCGATGCTTGGGCTCGTCACGCATACCTAATATCGTGTTCCGTCGTATGCAGGCGCCATCGCTGTCGTGGGGTGAAGATGGAGAAGTCGCCGAGACTAGTCCGCCGATCAATACGGTTGCCGACGAGGGCAAGCTAATGCCTGCTCTTCAACGCCTAGAACATGTTGGGTTCGTACGAGTGTCAGAGGAGACGGTAGATCTTGAGCGTCATATTTCAGAACTGTTACGCGCACGTTTGGAGCGGACTAGATGGATTGCTGAGGCTATCCGGATTATGGCACATTCGTTTCCCAAGTATCCACCACTCCCACCCGAGAATCATGATAATTTTTCTCATCCTGTAACTGAGGAACCAACGAAATCTAACTATGCCGGTCATTGCGAGGCCCTCCAGCGTCAATTGGAGAGTGTCTTCTCCTATCTGGGCCCCCTGCAGCTCGAGACGTTAGTGGATGGGTCATGTCTTGTGCAGTTAGTTGAGACATGCTTGTCCACTTCGTATTTCGGTAAGAAATCGTGGAAATACGCTGCGATGGAAATTGCTGCTCGGGCCGTGAAGGGGGCGGAAGGGTTGCCATACGGCGCGGTCCTGGAGGCTAGGGTCCAGATAAGGAGAGCAACCTTGGCTGACCTATACGATGAGGCGAATCAGTCACACGAGGCTATATCATTCCCTATATCTGATCATCGTTCCAACGCATTCTCAGCTGACCTTGTAATCCTGAAGGCCCGAGGTTGCATCCGTCTCAATGCATTAACATCTGCGCTAAGTTATCTGGCATCATTTAAGTCTTCGTGGGGTGGGGTGGTGTCGTCCTTGGGGTTGGTACAGGAACGTAAGGTAGCATTAATGCGTGCTAGAATCCTTCGATTTGGAGGCCGATTTCAAGAAAGCTACAATCTCCTGAGATCGTTACGGCTCACCGACAATAAGGTAGTGTCGCTTCTTGGCACAGTACTATGTGAACTCCAGAGGTGCGAGGAAGGGATCGAGCTATTGGATGCTCAGGTCAAGAATAGAACGGATTCGAGAGGCATAAAACGAGTGAAGATTGCTCTAGGAAATGCATACCTCATCTGGTCCATGCAGAAGTCATTACAGGGACTTCCGTTAGACTGGCGCTCGCTACAGATAGCCCAAGACATTTTTCAAGAACTGGCTCGTTCTGTGGCGGTAGCTACGTACTTTGACAAAATCGACCACCTATCTATCTTATTTGGGCTTGCTATCATTCATCATATGAACGGGCGGGTGGATTCCGCGTTAGCCGCGTGGGAAAAAGCCCTCACTACCTCACGGGGGTATCTCGATACCGGCTATACCGATATGATCATCTCCTACTCCAACAGCGAGCTGGAAGCTAGACGAGGTGCCATGGCTCAAGCAGATGCCCAGGGGAGTTACGCGGAAACGCTATTTGCTAGGACGGACCGACAATATCACTTTGCAGGTCTCGGATCCGCCTGGCCCGATCTCATCAGTAAGTGGTTAATCTCACATGGCCGAAAAGCGATAATTCATCCTTAGTATCACGGCTAGGGCGTTATCTATTAAGCAGCGTGATAGGTACCCAATAGCAGAGCCTGATTGCACGAGGACAATAGTGAGCTCGGGATGGCCGGCATACGTGTCGATATGACTTATTCAATATAGATTAGGTAGACAGACACCTAATATCTAGTTTATACCTAGGCATCTCTTATTAAGAGAAATCAGTTATAAATCATCCCTTCCCTCGATCAAACTACCTAGCCATCCTTCAAGATATAACTTAAACTTCTTGAACCGATCACTGCCTGTTTCTATGCCGTTCTAATATTAGTCTGTCCCTGTTGGAGCAAACTCTGAAGGGGACTCGTGTATGAAAATGTGTTATTGAGAGGTATCCGTAAGACTCCTACACGGGTTCCTGCTAGGTTACTGCAAGTGTGATGGACAGAGTAATATAATATAGGCATACTTGGTTCATAGACCCTCATTCTATTACTACTACCCAGTATGAAGTCTTAGGGTAGAACCCGGCAATGCTCCTTTTCAACAATGGCCATCTTGTGTAGGGAGTATGACGACGTTAATCTAACGGCAAGGGTAATAGCTACAATTTGGGATAGGTCAGCAGATATCAGGTACTCACGAGCCGCAGTCTACTATGTTAACAAGGCTCCCTCCAGATATCTTAAGTTGCCAGCTTCGTTGCCTTTCACCATACATTCAGACTCCAGGCGAGAAAACCCGCCGCCCTCTGCTATGTAATGTTATATTCTCCTATACAGATTAGACGCTTAATATTGTGGAATTAGGAGACGCCTTACAACTTCAAAATGAGTCTAAAGGGCATCGACTACAATTCACTGTTCCCCAACCAGCCGGGAAGCCCAATTCTCAGCAACCGCATATACTCGGTGTCATCGAGGGGCATGAGATATTTTATTTTCCGACCAGGGTTCTTCTTCAAACATCTTTTGTAGATTCTCCAGCCTTTTCTGTGCTTCCTAGGCGCTCACTTTCCCTTTCTCCCAATATCTCTTAATTACCAGTTGCGTGGACTGGTACTTTAAGCTTTTCAGTCCTTAATCATTGCTTCTCCAAAGAAATCCATAATAGCATCATGATGAGAGTCAATCTGTTTCTTGGCCCATCCTTTATCTCCATTATCGAGCTTTTTGCCGATAGCGCTGAACACTCTTTTTCGTAGTTCAGGGAGTTTCTCGTCCTATTCGCTAGTGATTCAACTTCACCCAGGGGAAAGTTCATCAAATTTCAATCTCAGTTCACCAACTTTAATGTCTGCTAAGACTGTTGCATTATTGACCGGCTTATAGTACAAAAACGAACAGTGTCCATTTGCGACGTTCCTGGGGATGAAAGTGGGATCAAGAGTCTTTTGACAGTTTTATCCCGTTTTAGATGCTTGGAAGCTAAGAACACAACTGCCATTAATCACCATTGCTTTTCACCACCGCTCAAACTCCACGCTGATAGCTGAGGGGACGAGACAAGGCTATCGCCATCGGGGAAAATATTAAACATAGCTGAACTCGTGAATCAATAGTCATTTATGACAGACTTTTCTAACTTATATATTTGAATCTTTATAGAGATCTCTTCCTATGTAATCCCAAAGTCTTGCGATAAACTTACATTAGTATTAGGTACTTTTGGGTCTATGAGGCATTATTAATTATTTGAAATAGGAAATCTAGGTATTGTTACTTAAAATAGTGAATATTTGGAACCAGTATATCTTAATTCTTGTACCAGCGTGAACCATCGAAGATATGTTGCTAGCAAGGTTAGGTACAGCCTACAGGTACCTTACAATTTAAGCATGTATAGGGGCGGACCTGTTAGCTTGGCGGGGTATTTTATCCCATCGCGGATTCATTGCATTATTACTCCATTTTCCTGATACATAGCGCCTATCCATCCATAATTCACTAGAACTGGTTGGCATTGATGGTCAATTATTCATTCTCACCGATCTAATTTTTTTGAAACAGCTTCCTGAACACCCTTTTCTTCTTCTTCTTCTTCTTTTTCTCCATACAAAACACGAAGTCATATTTAAGTCTCATCGATCCCGAATTTAAATCAAACTTTGTCAAAATCCAACACGTGTCCAAATAATTCGAAACATTAGCGGAACTTCTTCGCGAGAATCATTCGAACGTTGACGCATTTATTTAGTAGCTAATTCCCCTAAAGCTCGATTAGGGGCACAAGACAAAGATGTCGGGCTGGTATAGCAATCTTGTCGGCGCGACAACTTCGAAAATATCCAACCTCCAACGATCTTTTCTTAGCAGCGAAGCCGACGGCGACACTGAGGACGATACACATGTTTGCAGAGTCCTCCGGTCATACTACATCGAGAAAGGCAAACCGTTTCCTTCATGGCTACCGCCCGATCCTAAAGCGCCTCCTCCAGTTGCCGCGGTCTACTCGCAACCATCCCAAGTCGGTTCGAGGTACGGTGGTCTTACTCAGCAACCTCAAGGTGGTTTGAGTTCGCTCTGGGACAACAATCCGGCGTCGCAGCCGCAAGACGCGCAAAGTTTAAGAAGAGGCAGAGGCGCGCCGCCTGGCGTACGAAATAGCGACCCTAGGAACAGCCCGTTCCGCAACTCGGACCCCACGGCCGGGCGGGAGGAGGTAACGGCAAGACCGTTACCCAGCCAAAGAGCCGGAAGCTACCAGACCGCCGGAACGGCACCGCCTACTACATCTGGAGGCTCGGCACAAGATAGGCTGAAACAGCGACTGTTCGGCGGCTCGAGGACGACTAGTCCTGCAGGGAATGGACCCTTCCAACCTCCACCACAGAATAATTCTAGACCCAGCAATAACCACGGAAGTGGAGACTACGAAGATAGGTTTGCACCGGGGGGTATGTACGACGGGAACTCTAGAGGAGGCGGTCCACCGGGGGGCAGGCGACCGGGAGGCCTACCGAGCGGGCCTCGGATGAGATGATAGGGGATCCTTGGCAGATGGACGGGACTGTCTAGACGCTTCCATTTGGTTGCAGCCTGTCCTGGGATCTTGAAAATTTGAAATCAGGAATCGAGAGTGGGCTTCTAGAGTGAGGCTATATCGGACGCCAAGCTGCGGGAAGGCAGGGCAGGGCAGGGCATGGACCCTGATATGGTTAATCATGGCGCGCTCTGTGACTACATACCTACCTCTACTACCACCTAATATCCACCTTGTGTATCTAATTTATGGCGAGCTTGTAAATACCCACGAAATTGGAATTATTTTAAAAAGGGATAGATAAGATCCTACGGAAATAGTAGCAGCTGTTGGTTATTACTAGTACATCAAACCCAACCCCAAGTCCAGGCCTTTGTAAGGGAAGTATAAGTGGCACCAGAACACTCAGGTCACTTGGATATAGAAGTTGTTATGATTTTTTCTTTCTCCGGCTCCTGTGTATACTTCAGCTTACCGACCGCAGGGGTAATAATGCTGTTGCCTACTTTAGGTAGATAGATAACATATCCACCTTTCTTCGTATTGCGTGTTTCGATACGTAGGCCCTAGCACATGGGAGTTAGAAATTCTGGTTTCGTTGCTTGTCCCCCCTATGTTTTATTTATAATATGGTTTTATTTCCGTTAGATTATACATCATGGATCCAATATTAGGAATTTTGTTGAATTGCTGGCTATTTTTACTGCAAGTCCGAGTGCGTAATAAGAAATAATAATAGATGCAGGTAGGTGGTTTAGTTTACAAGGTATGCAAAGTACCTAGGTAGTGATAATGGACGTCATGAGTCTGATTCGTCATGCAGACTTTCGTGGCCTGCAGATGGAATCAGATGCATATGACTGGACAATAGCACGCTAACGCGGCAGGTTCTTACCTGTACATTAAGGTACATAGTATTATTTTGTACCTATTGTATTGTAGGTATCGTAAGTACTGTACAATACTATACTAAATCTTAGTCTCCTTCTTAGCGGTGATTTGAGGTATGGATAGGTACCGCTGAAAAGCGTAACGCTTGGGGGCGATGGCGGCCTCTCTATGATTACATAGGTACCTAAGTGTAACTGTCGATTAGCGCGCGGCGTGGCGGGGCAACAACGACGCACCTGCTGTCCTGCCGTCTTATTCAAAGACATCTCCCAAAGCTCAAACACCTTCTTGCTCACATGTTGGTCCATCACAAATTTAGCCCTACAGGATTGCAGAAGACGAAATCTCAACAACCAAGGATCTAGATCCAAAATCTAGATACCTCTTCTCGTCAATCCACAACATCCAGCATATCCGAGCTGGATAGGACTACATACACCCCCCCACCATGACATCAGCTCCCCCACCGGGTAGAGCCGGTTCGCCAACAGGAAGTTTCTACGCTATGAGCGACGACGAGGAGGGAGAGTATGATACTATCACACACACCGAGACTGGTAAAGGGGTAAAACTGTTGTTTTCTAAGAGCAAAGTTTATGTTCATCCTACCCCGTCATCCAAGGATAATATCCCCGGCTACATCGCCTTATTACAGCAAAAAGGACCCCATGGCGAGCGACCGACATCTTCTTCCTCCGCCGCTTCCAACTCCCCGGCATCAGCAGACCTTTTACTTGCTTGGTTACCGGAGTCATCTCTTGGCGATGCCGCCAGCATATATGTGAAAGTAGACCTGACTGATGCCGACTCCCCGCCGAGGCAAAGCTATCTCGTACCACCACCTCCAACCGTAACCACCCACAAAGGATCAATCGGATACTACGCCTTCGCCATACCTGTTAGTGCCATATACTCTCTGCTGGTGCGCCCACCGAGCTTGGGGTGGTGGTTCGGGTCCTTGGTAATCAACACCAGGGCCGGGGATAGCTTTCCGGCCTTATTCTTCCACGACAGCGAGTGTCAGTCGACCATACTCCAGAAGAAGAAGCGAGCTAGGGAGAGCTTTGATCCTTTTGGCGAGAATGGTCAGATGTTCTGGGGAGGCGATGAGGTCCTCCGTTGGTTAAAACGTTATGTCCGGATCGAAAGGAGCGGAGCTGAGCCGAATATCTACCTAGTAGAGCCGACCAAAGAAGATAGCGAGGCTTTCGGCGGTAAGTTAACATCTAGTACGCCTTCGCAGATCGGTAGACATGACAGTTCTCATGGAATTTCCTCGCGTAATCGCGCTGGACCTTCACGGGCGGGCCCTAATGACCAAAATGATGCGGGCATGGACCCCGTCATGAAATTCGTGAAGGAGACTGGGTGGAACCTCCTAGAGAGGTTCAGCAAAGTGACAACCTTTACGCGCAGAACCGCCCAGGAAATAATCGATAACCCAAAGTTACCACCCCAAGTGAGAAGACTGATGAGGAACCCTGAGGTTCAAACGTTGCAAGATGAGTTTGATAGCGCACGGATATACCTAGCCCGGTGGGCCATGGGAATAGCTGAACAGAGCGAAAGGGATAGAAGGCAGAGGATATGGACCGCTCGCGACGTATTGGAGTTAGAAGACACTGACGTTGGTGAATTTGAGTTACTTGAAACAAGCACCTTATCATTGGAAGAGCGGAGGAAACCCGTGACCCTGAAAGAGTGGAATACTTTCTTTGATCCTCGAACTGGGCGCCTTGCAGTTACCATTGATGAGGTTAAGGAGCGAGTTTTCCATGGCGGTCTCGATCCGGAGGACGGAGTTCGCAAAGAGGCCTGGCTATTTCTTCTTGGCGTGTACGATTGGTATAGCACAAGCGAGGAACGTAAAGCAGCAATGGCCTCTCTCAGGGACGAATACGTCAAGCTCAAGGCCGCCTGGTGGGAAAGGTTGGTAGATCTGGGCGGCGAAGGAGAGGATGGTGAATGGTGGCGAGAGCAGAGAAACAGAATCGGTACGTCTTATTGTTTTTACTCGTTATATATTTATACTGACCATTGGAAACAGAAAAGGACGTACATAGGACTGACCGCACGGTCCCGATATTTGCTGGGGAAGATCTTCCTCATCCAGACCCGGACTCCCCGTTTGCTGAAGCTGGCACCAATGTTCATATGGAGCAGATGAAAGATATGCTGCTCACCTACAACGAATATAATAAGGATCTTGGTTACGTCCAGGGGATGTCTGACCTACTTGCTCCGATATATGCCGTTATGCAGGATGATGCCATCGCCTTCTGGGGATTTCAGCACTTCATGGACCGAATGGAGCGGAATTTCTTACGAGACCAGTCTGGTATGAGAAGCCAGCTTCTCACGTTGGACCAACTGGTACAGTTCATGGATCCAAAGCTATATACTCATCTCGAGTCGGCAGACAGCACCAACTTTTTCTTCTTCTTCCGCATGCTATTAGTCTGGTACAAACGTGAGTTCAAGTGGATGGACGTCTTGCACCTATGGGAAGTACTATGGACGGACTACTTGAGCAGTAGCTTTCATTTATTCGTGGCTCTCGCTATCCTAGAGAAGCACCGGGATGTAATAATGATTCATCTCAAACATTTCGATGAAATACTCAAATATGGTAGGTGCCGCAAGCAATACTCTTTCGAAAGTCAACTTTTTTGCTAATCAACTCCGTGCTAGTCAACGAACTGTCAAATACGATTGACCTAGAGTCTACGTTGATCCGTGCAGAGCAGTTATTCCGCCGCTTCCAGCGGTTGGTTGAAGCTATAGATAAGAAGCAAAATTTCCCAACGCCAAGGACCCGGCAGGATTCGCCATCGAATTCTGCATCTCCCTCATCCCAGCAGCCTAAGAGCAATAACGGAAAGAGCACGGAGGCCCAGCCTCAAAAGATGATTACCCCTGAGCTGCGCAAGCTGCTCAGTAGGAAGATAGAAGTACTTCCGCGCAAGGCTGTGCAAAAGAAGGACGATAAAACAACTGCCGATAGTACTTAGGAGGTACTCTAGTAGGTCGTTGCTATGAATTGGCTTTAAGTTCAAGCTTTTGATGCTTGGTGTACTTGTATTTCAAGGGAATGCGGAATATGGACTGGGATGCATAATGAGGCGGATTATGCTCAAATTTCGAAGGCTCTGGCGTTGGGGTTTATATTGTATTGATGAAAAGAGCAATCAATACCAAAGTCGTTTCATTATCCCTTGACCAGATACTAATAAGAGCAAGTCTATTCACTGGTTGGGGTAGAAAAAGATGATGAAGAAACAATTGAAGTTTCACAAGTTACATTGTCCACAAACGTTCAGTATATAGAGAACATATGATGTACTCGAAAATATCTTAATAACGATGCCCCTGAAAGATGACAGCCTATACCAACAACCCGGTAGTTAGTCCATTCCTTTCACTCCCACTCCGTTGAATTTCGCATGGTACGCCTTTAGGTATAATTACAACAACAGCAACAACCAACAACAACCACAACAATATTTCATGCAAACTTCGGCCCTTCCCTCTCGTTTGCTCTCCCCGTCTCTACTTTTCTCCTTACAAGCGCGTTCCCGCAGTGTTGTTGGCGCTTATCTTATGTCATCCATTACTAGGTACTTTTTTTTCGAGGGGTGGAGGGAGGGACAGGGACAGGGCGCGCATTTGTTTTTTTAAAACTCCTGCTCCTCCTGGAAGAACATGCCGAACGAGATGATGGTGCCGTAGATCAGCAGCCCGCCGATGATGGACATGACCATGGCGGGGATGCCGATGAGAGCCGAGTGCGCGAGGAGAGCGGGGAGAGCTAGGGAAAAGAATATGTTAGTTACTGATTTCGAGATGTTGTTGTATGCATACATGATATGATATGTTAGGTTAGGTAGGCAAAGTAATAAATAGGATGGTTGGTTATATCTAGATAGCTCTTACCTATGCCCATGACGACGAAGAAGCCGGTGCAGAAGCGGCCGAGGTCGAGCACGCCGTTGCCGGCGCTCTCGACGAAGTCGTCCGGGTTGGCGCAGCGGGCGGCGACCCAGTTGGGGACGGGGGCCAGGACGTAGGTGGCGACGACGAGGAGCGGGTAGTAGACCTTGTACAGCGCGCAGGACAGGATCACCAGCAGGAAGCCGATGGCCAGCACGAAGGACAGCGCGATGATGGTCTTGAGCCCCGCGGTCGGCATCGTGAAGCGGTTGCGGATGGCGGATAGAGGATAAGGATAAGGATATGGATGCGGATGCGGTTGCGGATGCGGCTTACGACGGCAGGATGGAAAGGAGGAAGGAGAGTGTAATCGTATAAGAGGTGGTGAATGGTTGGTTATCGATAGTTCGTTTGGTGAGTATCGGTCGTGTGGAGGGGAGAGAGGAAGAACGCGCCGTGCCGTGTCGTGCCGTGTCTATCGTGTCGGTCGGTGAAAGTTGTATAATAGTTCGAAACTTGCGATGGTTTGTTAGAAGATGTTGTCGTCAGACTCGGACTCAAACCCAGCCTTGGCTCGGCTTGTCTACCGCTAAAGTTCCCGGGGTTGGGGGACCGGGGGGGTTGTTGCTAGCTTAAGCCACATTGTAAAGTCATTTTATGTAGCTGCCTGCATGTGCAATTGGATCAGTGGCTGAAATACGCCGTGCATCTAGGTACTATGTACATACTCTCAGCTGTACCTAAGTATGTCCGTACTTATCTTATCTGTTATCAAGACCCCAGAGAATATTACCTAAGCCTGTAGAGCTAGGGCACTTATGCTAGACCCAAAAGAGATGAACGACGAAGCTCTTGAGCTGCCTTGCGGTTGCTGAGTTGAACTGAGAACGACCAAGTCTGTAATTCAGGTAGCTCTAGCCTCTAGCCTTGCATTTCCAACTGCGAATACCTATCCAACCTAATTACACCACCATTTATTTTCATACAAATAATAAACAATAAGGAGAAAAAAACAAAAAAAAGATCTGAACTACACATACCGACATAATGTTCAGAAACAACTACGATAACGATTCCGTCACATTGTAAGCTCTTAACCACGCTGCAAACCACCCTTGTCAACCACTAACAACTACATCCAGCTCCCCCCAAGGGAGAATATTCCAGGTTGAATATGCCGCCGAGGCCGTAAAGCAAGGTTCGGTAGTGGTGGGTTTGGTCAGCAAGACGCACGCAGTTCTAGTCGCCATCAAGGTACGAGCATTATATTATTATTTTTATTATAATAACGGGAAACCTATTTCTAAACTAACAAAACCTCCCCTCTCTCCCACAGCGAAATGCAGAAGAGCTCTCCTCGTACCAGAAGAAACTATTCGCCGTAGATGAGCATGTTGGCCTCGCCATCGCCGGCTTGACCTCCGACGCCCGCGTCCTCTCCAACTTCATGAAGCAGCAGTGCCTGTCGCAGCGGCTGACCTACGACCGCGCGATGCCCCTCGGGACCCTCGTCTCGCTCATCGGCGACAAGGCGCAGTTCAACACCCAGCACTACGGCAGGCGGCCGTACGGCGTGGGCCTGCTGGTCGCGGGCGTCGACGAGGCCGGCCCGCACCTGTTCGAGTTCCAGCCCAGCGGCATGACCCAGGAGATGCTGGCGTGCGCCATCGGCGCCCGCTCCCAGATGGCGCGCACCTACCTCGAGAAGAACCTCGACAAGTTCGCCGACTGCGGCCGCGAAGAGCTCATCATGCACGGCCTGCGTGCCCTCAAGGAGACGCTAGTCCAGGAGCGCCATCTGACCGTTGAGAACACGAGCGTGGGCGTGGTGGGGCTCAAGGAGCCCGGCAAGAAGGGCCTCGAGTTCTTCAAGGTGCACGACGGCGCCGAGGTCAAGGACTGGATCAGCGACCTCGCCACCGACATCGAGACAGCCGAGGAACCGGCTGAGGCGGGAGAGAGTATGCAGGTAGATCCGTAGATGATGTGAAGGAAAAAAGGGAAAGGGGAACAAATATCATGCTACGGTACGGTAAAGTAAAGAGAAAAGAGAGAAAAAAAGAACAACTACTACTACTACTTCACAAATAATTGCATTTCGCTCGGGTATATGGACACTCGGGAGGTGCTATTGTTGCAGCATCATATGAATGTATATCAATAGACGACAACAAATCACGAAGCAAGCAAGCCAAGGAAGAAAAGAAAGAAAAGCTTTTGGCACCTTTTTTTAACGAGCTTTAATTGCAGAAAGTGTGATTTCATGTCATATTTCATCTTCCTCGTCGTCAAAGTCGTCTTCCCGCCCCATCTCGTACAGGATGCGCCCGCCTTCGCCCGCGCCGATGTCCGTCTGCGCGTCGAAGTACGGCAGGACTATGCCCTCCCTGTCCCTGCGCTGCTTCTCCGTCAACCCTAGATTAAACGTAGTCTGCATCTCCCCTTCCCCTCCTCCTTCTCCTTCTCCTTCTCTCTCTGCCTCGCCCCCGTCCCCCTCTCCGTCGCTGGGGTCCCTGAATGCGGGGTGGTCCGACAGTAGATACAGCTTCGAAGTCGTCTTCTGCCCTGACCCTGACCCTGACCCTGACCCCGCCACCAGGACGAACTTTTCGGAAACGGCGCGTCCACTTCGCCGCCTCAATTCCATTTCTAATACCAGGCCCTCGCTACCACCGGCTCCAGCACGCTTCTCTGCGCCGCCACCACCGCCGCCGCCGCCGCCGCCGAGCCCGACCAGCACGCCCTCCCGGCCCTCGGCCAGCCCCCACTCGGGCTCCGGCAGGCAGCGGTTGCGCGCGCGGCGGCGCTCGAGGGCGTGGGGCAAGTTCGCGACGCGCAGGACGGCGGTGGCGAGGTGGCACAGGGTGGTGAGGGGGTGGGGTTCGTACTCGTTTAAAAAACAAGAAGAAGGGGAAGAAGAAGAAGAAGAAGAACAAGGGAAAGGGAACGGGGAAGGATAAAGGACGAAGGGTAGGTCGGCGTGGAAGACGGCTACGAGGGAGACGCCGGGGGCGACGAGGCCCGCGAGGAAGGCGGAGAGGTGGGTGCCGGCGGCCTGGGCGATGGGGTTGAGGGCGTCGATCATTACGACGGTTTTGTAGTTTGATGATGAGGGTGAGGGGGAGGTTGAGGGTGAGGGTGAGGATGGGGATAGGGAGGGGGATGGGTAGTGTGAGGATATTTCGGCGCGGAGGGCGTCGGGGGTCTTGCCGCCCCAGGACTTGATGAATACGTCGACGTGGGGGGGTTTACGGAGGAGGGAGGAGGATAGGTAGATTGTTTTGCTTTTGGAGATCTGGAGTGGAGGAAGTTGGTTAGTCCTTTGTTTGCTTTGGGGTTTGGGTGGTTTTAGGGACCTGCGAGAAAAGAGCAAGGAGGGGAAAGGAGGGTATATTTATTTATTAATTAATTATTATAATACCTTGGCTCTGCTGAGGAACTCGTGAACTACGGGCGCTGCGCTCTGCTCTAGGGTGTCGAGGATTAGGGTTAGAGGGCTGGCGCTGTCCCGTAGGTTAAGCAGCTTCTGCAGGAGGAGCAGCGCGTGAGAGCGTGCGTGCGATTGTGTAGATGACGGCATGGCTGCGCTTTGCGCTGCTTTTTTGGAAGTTTTGAATATTTTGCGAGGCGAGGGTGAAGTTTAGGTATTGTACAGGAAGTACCTAGGTAATTAACTTTAAAGACTCGCATACTAGGGATTTTTATTATTCGTAGCTATCTTTTAAGCTAATCTTAACTTAACTCCGTCAAAACCTTATTCAACTCCCCAACTACCTAATTTTTATTAGGTACCTCCTATGTCGAGTAGAAGCTAGAGCGGACTCTCCCCGCAGCCCTAATTGAGGAGTTCTATAGCGTGTCTCCACTATTTTGTATGCAAGTTAAGATCAGACCCGGGACATGGGACCGGGGCAGATCTAGGTACCGTTGCAGTTGCAGGGGCTAGGTAATCCTCGCTATCATTCGGTTACCCCCTTTTCTAGGTAATTCAACCTCTTTCCGTCCAGCTTTTATATCGCCTAATATACCTACGTAGATACATGCTTTACCTTCACACAATACCACACGACCGTAGTTTTATATCAGTTGTTCAGCTTATTCTATTAAGACCAATGTGAGTTTGTTGTTATGAGAGGGAGAAGTAATCAAATGGCGACTACACGCTGGTTATGAGTAGGTAGGCTAACGAGTTCAATTAAATCTCTCCGCAACTAACCTCACCGTTCCAAAGCGGCAGTCTGCTCTAGTAAACGTGGCTGCGTTCCAAGGTGACGAGATATCAAGTGGTATTCTCGGCCTCGGTTTCCGAAGGCTTCCGGAGGGGGGCATTCAGAGGTAACGACCATACCAAGGATACTATCGCCGACTTGGTGAAATATCAGCTATTCGCCGAGAACAAGGGCACTAGCGATGAGAATCGGCCATATATTTCCTTCGGTGGCGCGCCTCCTGTCAAGACAGGGGAGTTCGCTCAGCGGACGGCATTAAGTCGTACTTACGCTTTTCGAGCATAATTATGTCAGGTTTGAATCATGTAGCCTAGCGCGGAGACACTTAGACTTCTTGCTTATATTTGGCACTTGGATTGTTTCATGTTTTATGTCGGCGAGGTAAGGTAGCTTGGGCGCTTTTCATTCAGTAGTTTGCATAGCAAATACATAGGTATAGATTGATGAACGGACATACAGCAATAAGGCATTGGGTCCTAAGCAAGTGTGATTTCGCAAACAAATTATTAAAAGCTGAATTGGAACCGACTATTTATTAGCTCCGTAATCCCCAGTTGGTTTTGCTGTTGTGGTGTGTCTTCTCCGTTCGACTGAAAAGGGGGGAGGGTGTGGGTGGGGGGTTGAGGCTCTTCGCATTTGCGCATGTGTGTGGAGCATCGCGTTGCAAATGTTCAGCACATTATGACTTTACAATCTACATTACGGCTGAAATGACGTAATTTCTGCTCTCTCGGTCTTCGATGACAATATCCTGATAAGTTATTGAAAAGTCTTCGTTAGGGGGGGCACTGTGCCAGCCCCCAGGTGCGCATCACTTGACTCATAGGGGACAGCTTCATATCATCAACAGCAGCAGCAGTATTGTAGTAAAGTGGTAATAACACAATAAACAATCACAGCAAGATAACAGGAAGATGAAAGGGTTCCCCTTATGGTTGAAAAGCACATTGCAAGCAGACCCGTTATCTCCATACTCAACATCGAGGCTTCTCTGCAAGAAAAAAAAAGAAGAAAAGTTCTTGAAAAATTCTTTACGGTATCGCTCAAACTGTGCAGAAGCGGATGTTTGCCCTGCCTACCAAGGTTCTCAGACAGCGAAACATGATGACTCCTGCGGAAGCTGCTATCAGCATCACGGTGTCGACAGCACGTACCCACAGTCCGTTATTTCTGCCACCATTGTGAACCTGCTGTTATGGCGCTACGCGTTGAACGAAAAAATTATATATAAGCATTGTTCCCATCTTCGATGAAAGCTTCTTTCTTCTATCCTTAGTACCATAAGATAACAATATCATACAAGAAATCCTCAAAGAAATACATTCTCTCGGCTCAACTATCGAGTTTATCAAGTCCTTTAAATACATTCCTAGTATTCAGACTTTCGGATTTGTGCACCATAATCATTTACGTGCAAAGATGTCTCGACAAAGCCCGTCTCTTACACAAGCTGAGGCCGATGCAACAAGAGCGGCTGAAGAAGCTCTGATAATCTACAAGTCGCGGTCGCGTACGGAGAGGAACAACGCTGTCATAGCGGCAACCTCAGTGGCGAGATTCCAACAGCACCCCGATGGTATTCAAGTCAACCTCCAATACGTATTGATCATGCATAACTAACGATTGTAAAGATCTTGAGGAAATCATCGCCACCTGCGGTGCCAGGGCAAGCGGTCGCATGTCGCCAACGGAGCGGTTTGTAAAAAACAAGCGGGTCAACGCGAGACGAAAAGCTATTTACCTGGATCGTAAATATGGTCATATGGAGGCTACGGAAACCTTTCCCATATTTAAGGACGACAGTGACGATGACTACGAGCCTGACGCTCCCACTATCACCGTTCGTCATGAGCTCCCGGCCACCATTCGCATAGTGACCCCTGTCGCTACGCCCGATGAATCTGACGAAGAGGATGAGAAGGAGGGGGAGGAGGATAAGGAGGATAAGGAAATTCACATTCCCCGGGCGCGGACTCCGTACCCCGGCTGTGACAAAGCCAAGGCAACCGGCGGCCACATGAACATTACGGGGAAGTTCAAGAAGCTTAAGTTCCTCGTTGGCGGCGGAGACAAGAAGGAGAAGAAGGCGCATGGGAGCAGACGGGCGTGAGGAACGAAGTTGATGCATTGGTTTTAATGAGATAAGCGATTGGTTACGAGGATAATGATATTTACAGCGATACCCATCTGCATGTGGTTTACATATTTGAACGTGAATGTCCTTCGTGATGCTAATCTTACTATTATCTTCTTAAGAAAAATACCGAACTATCTGTTTATGAAGCCATGTTCCAGGATTCGTTAGTTTTGTTTTTGCAATTAGGCATATCCGATGTGAATATTTTCCAAGATTGTAGTATCATATGTGGTTATATCTTATGAGTCAATACGACTGGCGTTGGAGAGGTAGTATGAAAGTGCATCTGTACAAACGTAACGTATTAGGGCCATGTAGGTAGCCCCTTTTCAGGGAGTGTCACGTGACGTCAAGTGTTGCTGCTAATTATCAACTTTATTTTCCCGGCTAAACTTTCTGTATAGTTACAGCTCTAACAACCAGCTTGATACCTAGGCATTTGGAGTAGGTATTGGCCTTTTCTGAAATTGCCATTCTTATTCCCCCGTTCTTAAGGGGCGGTGCTGTAGGTTGGTATAGGGAACTTGGAAATGTCCTTTTTGTTGTCTTAGTTTTGAACAGCGACACAAAGTGCTCATTAAACGGTCGACTATAATGAAGAAATAATAGAGATTGTGACATGGTTCCTTGTATTGAAGTCATCTCATCTTGTTAAGTGGGGCGTTTAAAAGAATCGGCGTTGGTGTTTCGGCGGGGCGACGGGGTCCAATTTGGGGTATAAAAGACTCCAGCCCCTTTGGAACGGCCATGATGGAGGCTATCAATATAATATGGCAGGTATCTAATGTATGAGATTGGTCTTTTTGCAATTTAATGCGTTGGGACTGGAATCAGACGGACTTATTTACATTGGGTAGACGATATGTCAGTATGTTTTTAATGGCTATCGAATATGAGAAGACATGAGTTGCAATATAGGTTAAAATAGCTCCTCACGACGAATGCCATGCATGGAGTGGCTATTAGAAATAGCAACTGAGTATTGATATAATATATTTACGATTACCTTTTACTTTCCTTTCAAGACACACAGCATCATTTATTATGTACTGCTACCTTATAAATCTAGGTCTACCTACCTAATTCATACCAATCCTATTCACACCTGGCGGTCCCTCTCCAAAGTCCCATAACTCTGGATTGCTGTTTCTTATGTCCTAGGTACCTCATTTACCTAGATTTTCTAAAGCAGCAGTCTTTACTAAAACAATTCAAATATTATCATGGCGTTAACCTAGGCGGTCGATAAGTATCGGAAGTTCTATTCTAGGATATATTTTCTTCGATGACAATAGTTACTCTGGGCACCGGACAAAAGATTATTGCTTTATGGTCCCGTTAGGCAGTCAAGGAAAGATCTATGATGTATGTTAATTGCAAGTAAGGTGGAAGTTCGAGTTTGCGCCCAACTAATTATTGCCTTAGGTACCTAAGGTAGGCACCTATCCTGCATCAGCAAACTCCTAGGGACATTAAAAACTCTTCAAACTTTCTGGTTTGCTGTTCCCTTTACTATTACCATCCTTAATACTCTCTACGGGAAACTTGCTGGATTACGAAGCAAAGAAGGGCCAAACTGTTGTTTTATAAATCTTTTGGCAACCCTGCTTGTTCTAGCAAAGCTTCTAAATAAGTGTACCCCTGAAATTGATGATTGTAGAGGACTTCGCAAAGACACTCCATGTGCTGTATGTCACTTTTAGAGAATTCTAGAACTCTTTGTGCCGACGGTTTATCTCAGTTCACACTACGTTTGAAGCAGCAATTGAAGATGCCAAAGTTTGACACGCAAAGGCTTTTTTTTTTCCTTTTTTGAAGGGGGGGGACACTCTGGCATTCATTGGCAACGATGACCAATACTGATTCTGGCAATAAATATTCTTACAGTGGCAAAGTGGGAAATTCATGGAAAGTAAGTCGATCAATTAACCGCAGAAAATAATGGACATGAATTGGTACATTGAGGTACGTTGAGGTATTCAAGAGGAACTTTTCATGGGAAAACACGGCACAAGCTTGGAGAACTTTTATTTGTGTGTAATCACACTTTGTATTTCAGTCAGCATGCTAAGGCGTTTAAAACCAGAACAATTAATTGCACATCCTATTCACCAAAGAAGAGGCGCCGAGAGGTTGCTCGCTAACTTGGGGATCTAGAAAGGGGATGAATTGGGATGGAGAATTTGCGTTGAGTCTATATGCCTTTTATTTAGTATGCACATTTACGAAGGATATGGATTTAAAAACGTAGACTACCTCAGTCCAGATTTAGATATCTCCAATCTGGGTGTGGGATGGAAAGAGTACGAAACAGACGATCTAGAGTGTCGTCTTGATGTGGTACCCGGCAGGTCATGGCAGCCGTGCAGGAGAAGGTGAACTGCTGTTCTCAACTGTTCAGAGATAAACCTAAGCTAGTGCACGATGGATGGTATCTCATAGATACAACTGACTCTACGGCAACGCAAAGACAAGGCGTTGCTGGAGCAGCATTGTACGTACTACCTTACCACGTTAGGCGGCGACTGAATAAATTAGCTGCCTAGACTGCCTGACAGGTAACCGTTGTCAAGGTGATTCTTTCTGCCCGTATTTCAGTTACTGCCGGTATATTCGGTTACCGCCTGAGCTGCCGCTCAGGTTACCGCCTTTGAAAAACTATTTAAACAGGCAGCCGTTCGCAATTCTCCCAGCTTAATCTTTCCACCTTCCAACAACTTTCAACTCTCCCACAACCCTAACAAGGCTTTGACGCCCAACCACAACCTCAACGTTTGTAAACACAAACCTTTAACAGAGAAGTTAGTCGGCGCTTTTTAATCAACCTCTTTTCAGCTTTAATTAATCAATCCTCAAACCTATTCATTTAATCACTTATTCAATCTTTCAACCCTGCAATCCTCCTATTTTCTATATCACAAATTCTATTAACCATCACGCCGCTTCTAAGTAAGCTACACAACATAAAGGGCAGCGGCGCTATTACTGCTCTGCAGAAATTCGCCTGTGTCTCTGGCAGTTCAGCCGCGGTGGCGGGGAACTTCGAAGACACATTGATCACTGATGATGCACTGAGGCGTCACATTGACCACTGACGATGAACTTCGACGACACATCGATCAGGGGAACTGAGACGGCATGAAGGAGTATGGCTTTAAGGGTCTGGCAGCTTCGCTCTAGGCTCATACAATGCTCTTATTGGAGGTTAGTAGCTAACCCTTTGCCGCCTAAAAGAAGGATATAATTTGATTAACATGATTTACAGGATGTTGATACTTTGGAGTAATAACAACACCCAACATCCCACACTTATTCCTAGGAAAAGAATTCTTCCACCGAGCCGGGATTGATTTTCATTTCTGGTGTTAGGAGTGGCATTGTACAGCTTGGTGAGTCAATACCTCTGTGACAAGACATAGAATCACTGAACTAATAAACTCTAGCTCAAGATATACTCTTTCGAAACGGGTGCTTCTATTCTATTACTGTTGCCCCGCAATCTACGCGCTCGATAGCGGCTGGGTTTGGACCATGTTAAGGCGGGCCGCTCTAATTATGCCTCCATAACACCATTCTTTCCATGGAGTGCCTTCAAGCCAATGACCTCATCCAGGCCATGTCCTGTGTTTCCGGCTCAAGGTCAAGGCCAAGGACATGGACGTGCATATAGCACGGCCAACGCTCCTATCTATCCATGGTTTGAACCACGACGGAACTTTGCGGGCCAGCTCTCTACAAGAGTCAGTCAAATAGACGGCTCTGCTTGTGCTCCTGCGAAACCTCCACATAAGACAATATCATCTAACTGTTGCTCGGTGGTGTCAAAACTAAGACTCCAGACACGTTATTTTCTATTCAAAGATATTATTCGAGACATCCAGCCAAATACACCTCTAATTGACTGGAGCGGCTGCTGTCGAGCTAGCTTATAGATACAAGACTCATTTGTGAGCTCCTTCTGTTAAAGCCGCACAAACCGTCTCCCCACTATCCTCGCAGCCTAGATGTGGACGATGAGGATTATATCCAAATTTGCCAGTCCCTGCGGCGGCAGAGATTCTCGTGGAGGCCCGAGGCCCATGATCCGACTGGCCGTCCATCACCCATTTCACCTATTACACCTAATCCTCCCTCCCGCAACTTCTACGCACCGGCCGCTCACAATAAATACATGGCGCCTAGAGACCACCGTTACTGTTCTTCATAATCGAAAAGGAAACACATATACATACTGCGACATGGCAACATTGCAACACTGCAACACTACAAACACTGATGTTCGACGGGTACTATCAATAAGAAGGGGCAATACTTAAATGTATCAAACTACCTAGATAGCTTTCAGTATTCTAGATACTTAAATCAATAATCAACAGACACATAACACGTCATCAGATTCTATTTGTTATTCAATGCAACTAATTGACGTTTGTAACTAAATGTATTGAAATTGCAAGAGGCATACTTTGAACCTAACATTTGTGACTGAGCATCGTATTGAACAGTAATTACCTACCTACCTACCTAAGGTACATTAACCGCAACTCCTAGTAACTTGTTCACTTACTTGCTTTGACTGATAGTTTAGGTACCTATCTCCGATTACGCAACCTGCCATGGTATAAAGCCTATCCTATCCCTCTCTCTACGCCATAACTTCTCCTAGGTTATGTTAGGTAGGTACCTGGTACCTAACCTACTCCCGTGTCGGACTGAGAGGACGGTTGAACCCGCCGACACGATTCATATACTGCCGATACTCCGTCTTCTTCTCCTTGCGCACCGCGCCCGCATTGTTTCCCGGGATATGCGTCCCCTTCGTCGTGCCGAAGCCCCCGAAGCCCATCATCGCCTGCATCGCGCTAAAGCTGTCGTCCTCTTCCACCACCACATCATCATCGTCGTCCTCGCCCTCCTCCTTTTTGTCTTCGTCCATCGCATCTCCCCTATCCGGCGTTTCGGTTCTTCCCCTCCTGCTATTGAACTCGTCCTGCCCGTCGTGTTTGCCCCCTCTACCACTGGATGCTTCCTCTTCGTCTTGCTGCTGCTGTTGTTTGGACCCCACTTTGAACTGTAGCGACGACGCGCCGGTCTCGGGTTTGCCGGTGTTGGGCCGCGGCCGCGTCGGCAGCGGCGAGTTGCTGTGCGAATGCGTGTGACGGTCTAGCCTGCTCTGTGGGCTGCGAGTTGGCGGGGATGCGGAGCGTCGGGGGCTTCGGTCTCGTCCTGAGCCTACCTCACGATTAGTCCTAGTTCTATTCCTAGTCCTAGTCCTGGGGATGCCTGGAAGCTGATTTCCCTTCTGAAGCGTGATCGCAAAAAAACGTACCTCTAGTTGCGCCCTCATCCCTATTATCGCGTCGCCTATCTCTCTCCCTTTCCCTCTCTCTATCTCTCTCCCCCCTTCTCCTATCGTGGTAATCGCTCTCTTTGGCCCACACGATATTCTGGTCCCGCGCTCTCTCGGGCTCGCGCCGGTCGCGGTGCTTCTCACGGCGATCTTGCCGGGGTGATCGCGACCTAGATCGGTAGCGACGATCTCTGTCGCGACGGCCGTCTTCTCCCCCCCGATCTCGGCCGCGATCGTCTCTTCTATCGCGCGTGTCTGGTTCGTGGTGGCGGCCACCACGGCGTTCGGACTCGTCCCACATCTGCTTGCTGTCCGGGCGGTTTCGACGCCGGCGAGGCTGGTCGGCCATATTTTCTTCTTCTTCGTAGGATTGATTTTTTACAAAGATGCGATTTTGGTTTAAATTTAGCCTAGCTGGTTGCTGTAGTAAATAATCTACAAAAAAGAACAAAGGGTTCGGGTTTTATTCGGGTTTGTTACTATATCGTGTTTTACTTTGCTTCGCTTTGTTTCTTTCTATGCAAAAGAAAAAGCTTAGAAGAATCAGCTGTCGTCATGGCTAAAAGAAGTGCTGGTAACACGGTACCGTGCCATGTATTGTGATTGGATAAAATCATAAGATGTGAATTACATAATCTTCCATTGGACTGCATATACTCAAGTACAAAGGTACCTAAATCTTTCCCATGCAGTAGGTAGACCCCGCTACGGTACGCTGAGGACTTCCCCTTCTACAACTTCAATTTTAAAACCTATCTAACCTAAGGTAATTATATAAGCTTACACATCGCCGTCGATATCATTCATGGCTGCAGGCTTACGTCCCGTTGTCGCAGAAGCTCAGCCATTGACTCTAGACCTAAATCCAACGTCTTCTTCAATATCTGCGATCGAGCAGCTGCATCGCCGATGTTCAGGTCTATCAGCGGCGTCGCCATTGTAGGATGTTCAAGCTGGAGAGCTTCGAAATGGGATAATAGGTTTGTCTGACAGGTAAGTATATTAGATTTGTGAGTTGGTTTTAAGACGGATGATTCGGACTTCTGAGTAGGTAGTTCTGCTCTGTTTCATTTTTTGATACGTCACAAGTGCTAGGTTGAGTTGCACTATCGATTCCTTTGAAGTTGAGACAAGTTAGCTTTGATCCTTATAAGTTCTCATCGACAGATTCTGTCAGACTATTTAGTAACCATGACGTTGGTTTTGCGAAGGAAGCTGGTGGTTTCATCTCACCGGACTGCAGATCTCTTCAGCAGCCTCGCAGTCTTAGTACAATACATACTATGTAGTACCACTTTTACAACCATAAAGTACAAAGCCTTGACAAACGGAAACAAGGTATTTGTGAATCCTCTTGGCGCCATTTAGTGGGGTGGAATGATGATACCTACCTCTTATGATATCAGTTTTCTAAATTAAACAGCCGCTTGCGCAGGGCGAGTAGAACTACTCAGGTAGATTGCCGTGCGGCGGTGGCTGTGGCACGACGGGCACTAATTCTTCAACAGCCGCTTAAGCCTTTTTGACAAAGTCAGCTACCGCGCCGTAAGCCAACGCCGCACTAGTTATGACGATCAATGATAGACAATCCTACCTGGTACTTATTAGCTTAACTTCCACTATAATTAGGTAGCATTATGGGGAACAACAACTAAAATATGGCAAGCTCACTTCATAATCTATGTATCGGTGTAAGATATTGACCTAGGTTCTAGGTCGAGTACGAAAATAGCACCAGGCACGATGATCAAGATGAGGATGATCAAGATGGGACAGAGCTTAGAGAAACGAATATATAAAGGCTCGAAAGGTTCACCTTGTTTGTGGTCTCTCATCTTCATCACCATCACCATCCGCATCATCCCTTCTACACAAGCCTCGAAGCTACTATCCCTTCCATCTCAACAACAAAGTTATTCAGTTTTATAGCTACTTCCGAACTCGCAAATATTCAAAATGCGCATCTCTCTCTTCAAAGCTGCTACTTTCGCCCTCCTCGGGCTCGGCAACGTCTTCCCCGGCGTACTGGGTGCCCCGACTTCCAACGCAGTCGAAGAGGTTAGTTAGCTCACATCATTTGCTCTCAGTTCTAATTACTAACATAGATTTCACAGCGCTCCAACAACCTGGTAGCCAGGACCAAGGCAGTCCCTGATATCACCAAGCAAGGATACCATGTCGACGAAGGCACGGGTTTCCCGAGGAAGAAGACCTACAAGGTCACCACCAACCACTACAGCGGTGCACTCGACCTGATCCGAGTCGAGCCTTCCGGCAAACTGGTCGCCATTCTGGACGCCAACAACGACGCGGACGAGACACCCAACCGTGCTAAGCTCCGCGACATCGTGATGTACGTGTACACGGTAAAGGGCCAGCAGCCGGCGAGCGGAATCCAGCGGGTGCGCTTCGAGGTGGTCGTAGAGAAGACCACCAACGCCGCCATCAAGGCCGCGTACCACAAGTTGGACAAGACTACTGGAGACTTCACCGTCAAGGCTAGCGACCACGGCAAGGAGAAGGAAGTGTTCGACAGCCTGTCCAAAACGCCCTTCGGCAAGATCGCCAGCAGCTACCACACCGACTACAGCGCCGGCCAGATCAAGGAGATTAAGATCGAGGACAGCCCTACCCGCCCCACCATGGAGATCCACCTTGGCTAAATACCTAAGGTACCTAGCTGATGGGCGGTATCCTACGACAAAAATATTGTACAATATGAAAATGCGGATTAGATGTATACATGTATACGGGCCGGGGTTTTACAATAAGGCATAGCATGGTATAGCATAGCATAGCATAGGTTTTTTCCGGGTTTTCTTTTTTTTTTTTTTTTTCTCTTCTACCAAATTGGTAACTTGTTTGTTTGGCCACTCATCCTTGGGTAAGAGTGGCAACACTTCGATCGCTAGATATTAGAAAAAGTATATAAAAATAAAAACGAAGCGGTTTTTGGGTCTCAAGACATCTTCCAAGATATGCGTGATAGCGGCACAGATAGGTATAATGCAGCTTGAGGGCTATGCAAGTACGATTTAAATCTCCATAAATCCCGATTGGGGCTAAGCTTTGCGGAAGAGCGATAGTCGTGGTGGTTGTGGCCGAGACTGGTCTAGCTCAACGTGTGAAGGAACCTTTGTGTCGCAGTACTATTTGTAGTGTATTGGATGATACCTCCTTAGGAGGTAGGTATGTTCAGGAACTTCAGGTTCTTACCTGAATAGGTACCTACCTACCTAAGTAGGTAATAATCTTATAGAAGCCAGTCTACATAGTACCTAGTCTGTAAAGTGGAGTTGCCATTGATGTTGGTTAGTATTACTTAGTTACTGAATTCAAGTAATAATTTGAATAATTTGCATAACTTGTTAGATCCTGAAGCTATAAATACCTAACCGATTAATAAATAGTTTCAGGCTAGCTATCTATATTTAGTCTTTTCGCCTTCATGAAATCGTAGTATGATCTTGAAATGACACAAGTAAAATGACTGTGAAAATAAAGCATACCATGTACCAAGATTACCATATTGATGGTGTTTGTCTACACGTGGAATTCCCATTTTCTTGGCATAAATAAGATGAGAATACTATAAGGTTACCTGTTGAGGCTATAAGCCAAGACATCTCCTAGGCCGGGGATGTCTTGGCATCTGGTACCTTTTGAACCAGGCCCAGAAACACGTGGGTACGTACTGCTGTACCTGACCGCTCAGCTGCTGACAGTTAAAGAAGACCGGGGTGGACCCTGCAGCCCTGACGTCAAATCAACTTGTTCGAAAGCTTCAATGTTCCTGCGCTAAAAATTCCAAAAACCGTGTTCACTTTTCGAAGCTTCCCTAAAGCCCGGCCCGCTAAATCGGATAGCTCTAGTAGACCGGCACCTCGCCATTGCTTCTTCTTTTAATATCCCCCCCTGAAAAAAAAGGAAGGAGAAGAAGGGAAGAGAGAGAGAGAGACTCTCGCCGTTTTTATTTTTTCGATGCCGTCATGACGTTCTCAAATCGATTGACAGCTGTGCTGTCATTTCTGGCAGTGCCGTTACTCGCTCCGTTGGCCGTTTGCGAGCCGGATGGCGAATCGATTCTCAATGCCGAAATTGGCCGCATGAACAACGAGAGCCTCCTATGGGGCCCTTATCGTCCGAACCTATATTTCGGAGTTCGTCCTAGGATACCCAAGAGTTTAGCCACCGGGCTCTTGTGGGCAAAAGTCGATAACTATGTCGAGGTCCAAAATAGTAAGTAAGCTTTTCATTATCATTATCATTATCATTATCATTTATCCCACGGACGGAGTTGATCATTAACCCCCGGTGCTCTTAGGCTTCCGCTACACCTGTGAGCAACATGAGGGGATGGCCGGTTACGGGTGGGACGAGTATGATACTCGGAGAGGCGGTGTGCAGCATATCCACGATGCTGGGAATAACATTGACATTACCACCGAGTTTGTCAAGATCCCCATTGGTACTCATGGTGGCAGCTGGGCGGCTCGAATCAAGGGCGAGCCCCGAGATGATGCACCCTCTAACCTGCAAACCACCGTCTTATTCTACCTTGCTTCCGAGGCTCTCGGGGAACTGCTCGATATCAACAGCGAAGGCGACGAGCTTGGATTCGATGGCGACGTAGCTTTTGCTGGCAAGTCCGCGGTTCTGGGTGACTATAAGCTAGTCGTGACTAAGGGCACGGGTGATCATCCCAAGAGCGACCATGCTATATCTAGCAAGAGGGACTTGACCAAAACTGTGGTGCAGTCGTTAACTGTGCCCGAGGAGCATCTGTGGCAGGCTAAGCAGATCCTGTTCCAGCAGCTCAAGGCGGGTGTGGACGAGATCATCCAGGAATTCGGAGCTGAGAATGCGCCGCCGCCCTGGCAGGTATACCAGCTCCCCAATAAGCCCAATACTGGGAACTTCCACCTCGTCCAAAAGGTATTCGAAGGGCCCTTCGAGTTTGACATCCTATTCTCGAGCGGTTCTGCTGGTAAGGATGTCACGAGTGAGGATCTTACTCGGGAAATTAAGTCGACTACGGAATCTTTCAATGAGCGTTTTGGCGAAATATTCGCGCCTCAGGCTCCTTTCAATGCCGACAAGTACCGTAGGTTTGGACGGAGTATGCTATCCAACCTTGCTGGTGGAATAGGATACTTCTACGGGAAACATGTCGTTGACCGATCGTATGCCCCTGAGTATGACGAAGAAAATGAAGGGTTCTGGGAAGAGACCGCAGAAGCCCGTGCCCGTAAACAGGAGCAGCTCGAGGGACCGTACGAGCTGTTCTCTAGTATCCCATCTAGGCCATTTTTCCCTCGCGGGTTCCTGTGGGACGAGGGCTTTCACCTCATTCCCATCGCGGATTGGGATATTGATCTTACCCTTGAAATTGTGAGGAGCTGGTACAACCTGATGGATGAGGACGGCTGGATCGCGCGAGAGCAGATCCTCGGCGACGAAGCCCGAAGCAAGGTGCCTCCCGAGTTTCAAGTTCAATACCCGCACTACGCCAACCCGCCAACTCTATACCTCGTCCTCGAAGCTTTCACCGAAAGGCTGCAAAAGACAAACGGTAGCCAGAGCGTGGGCGAGAGAGAACACCTCGAGCCAGACGCCGTTCTAGAGAGCGCTCACGTCGACAATCCTTCTTTGGGCATCGAATATCTTCGCAATCTGTACCCCCTTCTGCGACGCCAGTTCCTGTGGTTCAAGAAGACCCAGTTCGGCGATATCAAGTCATACGATCGACAGGCCTACTCTAGGAAAGAGGCCTACCGTTGGCGCGGACGGTCGATTCAGCATATCCTCACCAGCGGATTAGACGACTACCCCCGGCCTCAACCCCCGCACCCGGGCGAGCTGCACGTGGACCTGATGTCGTGGATGGGTATGACGGCGCGGGTGCTCGCCAAGATCGCCGACTTCGTGGGTCTGCCCGAGGACGTGGAGGAGTACCACCGGGTGTCCGACGGGATATCGCACAACCTGGTGGACCTGCACTGGTCCGACGCCGCGGGGTGCTTCTGCGACGCGACCATCGACGAGTTCGAGGAGCACACCTTGGTCTGCCACAAGGGCTACGTCTCCCTGTTCCCCTTCCTGCTCGGCCTCCTGCAACCCGACGACCCCAAGCTCGGCAGCCTCCTCGACCTCCTGGGCGACGAGGACGAGCTGTTCAGCCCCCACGGCATCAGGAGCCTGAGCAAGAAGTCCGAGTTCTACGGCACCGACGAGAATTACTGGCGCAGCCCCGTGTGGATTAATATTAATTACCTGGCCATCGTGCAGCTACGGGTAAGTTTTGAATTTACTGACTACCTACTTTCACCTTCTCATCTTGTCTTCTTTTCTCCCCTTCTTTCCCCTTTCTCCTTCTTGAACTTAATATATATGCCTAATATATATATACTAATATATCATCTGCCAGAACTACGCGACCCAAGACGGCCCCTTCGCCGCGCAAGCGAAGACCCTGTACGCCAAGCTGCGCGAGAACGTCGTCGAGACCGTGTACAAGAGCTGGGAGGAGACGGGCTTCGCCTGGGAGCAGTACAACCCCGAGACGGGCAAGGGCCAGCGCACGCAGCACTTCACGGGCTGGACTAGTCTCGTCGTCAAGATCATGGCGCTGGATGACTTGAGCTCTTGGTCTAATACGAGTGCGGGTACGGGTGCGGGTGCGGGTGGAAGCGACGCGCAGAGAGAGAAGGATGAGTTGTAGGGCTTAGGTACCCAAGGTTAAGCCTAGATAGGTACCTTAGGTTAGGTAGGCATGTACTTACAAACCGCTCCTTTTCGCGTTGCGACTTGTGCGTATACTTGAATAAAATACCTCATACAATGCGATGCGATAGACGCTCGGAGTATATAGATTTACGCCGGGGAAGGGGAAAGGAGGCGGCAGGGGATAGATACCTACCTACCTCTCTGTAACGCCTAGATGAGATATCAATGACAACTGAGATGAACGATGAGACACTAACCAATCTTTAAAGCAAAAGCATAAGCCTTTCAAACCGGTATAATGGTTCTAGTTGACTTTTTTTTTTATATATGTTTCTGCTATATGTGATATATGCTATGCTATCCCATCCCATTTATACTATACCCAAGGCGAACTCTATGATGAATGAGTCGCGATATATCTCTACCCCGTCCTGTATCCTTTTTTCTCGTTCCTTGAATGCATCGTTGAGTCATATACGGTAGCCCACGAAGGGGTCTCTCTCTCTCTCTCCCTGCCTCCATGTCTCTCTTTCTTACCTAGGTAGGTACCTATAACCATCGATATCCGTATATACGCCTAATAATCCAAGCCGTACGTACGGTACCCTAAACTGCACCCTCCCCATGCCTATCACGCCTCGTCGTCGAAAACCCCTAACGGCCCCTTCAGCTTGGTAAACATCTCGTCGCGCTCTCCCTCGGCCGTGCTCAGAGCAGTCACCGCGCCGCCGGCGCCGATATGCCAGACCTCGAGCTCGAGCTCCTGGCCGCCGCTCGCACCCCCCGCCGTCCGCGTCTCGTCGTCCCAGCGGAACAAGCTCCGGATCGTGACGCTCCAGTCCCCGCGGCCCGCGGCGTCCATGTACCCCACGACGCCCGAGTACAAGCTGCGCTCGCGGCGGCCCTCGATCTCCTGCAGGATCTCGCAGCTGCGCTTCTTGGGGGCGCCCGTCATGCTCCCGGGCGGCAAGCTAGCCGCCAAGACGTCCAGACCAGTCTTCTTCGGCGTCCCGTTGTTATTGTTGTTGTTGTTGCCGTCGTCGGTATTAGCGGTGTACGGTACTGGTAGTCTGCCCTCGACGACACTGATCATCTGGAACACGCTGGCGTACTCCTCGACGACGTTGAGCTTGGGGACGGCGACGCGCCCGGCACCGCATACGCCGTGCAGGTCGTGCCTGACGAGGTCGACGATCATGAGGTTCTCGGCTTCTTCCTTGGGTACGTGGAGGATAGCCTCGGCCTGCGCGAGGGTGGATACGGCGCTCGACTTGCGCACCGTGCCTTTCATCGGGCGCATCGAGCACAGGCCGTTGGTACCGAACTCGAGGAACCGTTCCGGCGAGCTGCTGATTAGCGTGGCGCCGCCGAGTCGGATGTAAGAACCGAAGGGTGCGGGTTGCCGCGACCGCAGAGAGCGGTATAGCTGCCACGAGGTCTGGAGTGGTTTGCCAGGCTCAAGAGGCATTAGGTGACAAGCCTCTGTCGCTGACGAGATTTTCGGCCGCGTGATAAGTGTTTGGTCAGTCAAGCATAATTCATATGAATCTCCCGAAGCGATAAAATCCTGGCATTGCCGGACCTTTGACTCATATTCATCAGCATCCGGCACTTGTATCTGTGCCTTCGCGAATATGGAATCCGGTGTTGACGGTGGCGTAAGCTGGTTTAGCTGTGTGCGCTTGTTGAAGTCCGCGCGAAGCCCATCCGACCAGATAGTTGAGGCCGAGAGCTTTTCAATGATAGAATCTGCCCAGTCATTTCCGTCGGACTCCCTCGGCGATAATTGTTGAATGCGCAAAGTCCCCTTCGTATGATCTATTACAATACTTTTGGTTACCCAAGCAAAGCAAAGGTCTGGTCTATTGTGGCGTCTCTCTTCGTGAGTCGTAACATCAATACCTTCCAGTCCAAGCTCATAAGTGGTATAGCCCATAAAGCCCCCTAGGAAAGGCGCCGAGTTATCGTCAGATGCCACTCTGCGCTTAGTCCAGAATTCGGCCAATAGCTGCCATATAGTTTGTCCGGAGCTGAGATGAATCGTCTCGGAAACTTCTCGTGAGGAAGGGTGTTGAGGATGTGAGCATCGGGCTGTAGCATGCTTGTCTCCTGTTCTGTAATCCAATTTCAACATCTCATCAACATCTAGGGCGATGATACTGTAACGCCCTCGCACATCGGCTCCGATCCTACTTGCTTTGGCGCTTGCAGAGTCAAGGATGATGAAGTCCCGTCTGTTGCCTTGTAATATCTCAACTATGTCAGGGGCCTCGATATGAATTGGGAGTTTTATAGTTCTTGAACTATAATGGTGATTCAATCCGAAGGAAGCCAGCTCACTGTTGCCATCCACCCATAGGACGTGGTTATTCGTACCGTGTCCATTGTAATCCGAACCGTCCTTAGCGCCGTGTGTGCTAGATTTCGGTAGTCTACTGATAGAGCCGAGTGAAACAGGAGTAGAATCCGGTATGCGGCCGTTTTCACGATTCCATCTTATGGCCTCGCTAAACCAGTTCTTGATAACTTGATGACCTGTCGGCTCTGTACATATTGACTCGGGGTGGTATTGCAAGGCCCAAAACGGCCTCGTTTTGTGCTTCATACCCATGAGGATTCGTTCTACATAGTCACCTCGATTTTCATATACCCAAGCCAGGGGAACGATGGCCGGCAAATGCGCCGGTGAACACCATTTGGATTCCGTCCAATCGTTGGCAGATATCGATTCCTGTCCAATATCTGCGTAAAGGCTGTGGTATAGCGTGGCCTTAAAGGTTGGAACGCTGTAAAAGATATTCCCTTCGTCCAAGCTGGGGTTTTCAGCATCATGGTCGATCTCCCGAATCATGCCATGAAGACCGGTCTTAAGCTTCTTCACGATGCCGCCACAGCTGACAACTAGGCTTTGAAACCCCAAGCATATCCCGAGGACTGGGACCAGGTGCGCTGGTTCGAGGTCCCATATGTATCTCATCAGCCCCACATCGTGTGGCAAGTCGGGCGACCCGGGCCCCGGACCGCAGACGACAGCATCATACCGCCGCAGCAGATTGGTCAACTCCCTCACAAAGTTCGGCGCATGCGGTTGAAGTTCAGGGGGATCAATGGGTAAGATGTCAACATCAGCTTGTAACGTCGTTGTCAGGAGAGACACGATATTGTTACTAAAAGAATCATAAGCGTCGATGAAGAGGATCTTGGGTTTGCTCATATTGATATTGATGTCTGCGAGAATACGCCAACCTCGACTCGGTGGTACATGATAGGAAGGTTACGCTCTACGATTTATATTTCATGTATGGGTGAGAGGTGCGTGCAAAAGGTTAGGTAGGTAGGTACCTACCTAACATATATAAGCGCAGGTTGGTAGAGCTATTTATCTCACTTGCCAAGAATGGTTAACAAGTATTTAACTAACAGGTAGTGAATAATGTATACTTATAATATACCTTAGGTAGTTGAGGTAGTAATAAGCTAATAAAAATAAGTAAGCCTGACTTGGAAGAAATTTTCTTATTATTAAAGGATTTTGAGGCAAGGAAGGTAATGGATATGGCATGGCGTATGTTTGCAGCTGACAGAACCAACCTAGTGGACTATTTTTGAGTACCTACATGTACCTACCTAGGTACCTAGGTACTCCCTTAGCCTCAAAAAGTACGTTAGGAGGTACCCAAGGTAGTATACCGAGGAGAAGCGGCTTAAACCGAACCTCTGGAATCGCCTCAGTTCCCCTTCATTGCTATGTTGAATATCGTTTAAAGTTCAAAAGCTCAAATCACAAGTAAAGTTTACCCATTGATGGACGGGTATAATTGATTTTATTTTGTGCAGCGTTTTCGGAGCTCAATCCGGAACCAATCGTTACGCCATAGCCCGATATATTAAGATATTGCCATGTACCTTGTAAGTCCTCAAGCAGGAAAGTGAACTGAAAGCAACGCACGTATTTCAAATTCCATGAATAGGTACGGATAAAAATACCTTAAGACGTGTAGTATGTATATTATGCATTAGGTTAGGTACCTGGTATGATACTTTTTTCTACATTCGTAGATCCGACATGGGAAGCCGAGCAGCTTGCCATCTCGAATCTTGTCCAAGGTCGCACAGATCGGATACACCAGTTTCGCATTGCGCGGAGGAGGTGGCGTTATCTTAATAAATGCCGGTAAATTCTGTGCTAGATATCAATATACGGCTCTCTCGCAATGCTTCTAATGCAATGGTCCCCCCTTTATTCGCTACCCCAATCTAAGCCATACCGCGCGTCCGAGATCTTGTATTCCCGTAAGGCCTTGAGCGCACTCTCCGCGTCGTTTGCAGTAACCAAAATATTGGCATTGCCTCCCTTAACGAAACCCTCACCGACGGCTGTCTTGATCCATTGCATCAGGCCGTCGTAGAATCCGTTAATATTCAGTAAGCAGACACCCTTGTCATGGATACCGAGCTGGTTCCATGTCGCTGTCTCGAGCAGCTCTTCCATTGTACCATAACCGCCGGGGAGCGCGATAAAGCCGCTTCCTGGCCCCCCTTCGATTACTTCTCTCGCCATCATCTGCTTTCGTGTATGCATGTCTTTAACAACGGTCGTTCGGCCGTAAATTTGCTCCTCCGGAACATGGTAGCCGTTGGCATCCGTAGTTGTCGAATACGTCGCGTCTCGCTCCCACTTAACTAACGCTTCTGGGATGATACCGTGGACAGCATCGGGGCCTGATATGGACACTATCGCCTTGGCTACTTCTCCCATCAAGCCTACTGTACCACCTCCGTATACTAGAGAGAGAGAGGAAATTAGCTATGATCAAATCACAAAAGTCCCCATAACTAACATGATTAGAAAGAAAGGGTGGAGGGTAATAAAAAGACGTACCTAAAGAGATATTGTTCTCTGCCATTAACCTGCCTAGTTCTTGGGCTGCTTTAATATAGACCGGGCTATTTCCGGGCGATGAGCCGCAATAGACGCAGACCTTAGCCGGCCGGGGGGTGGCGTTGGAATTCGGACCGGACGTCATCGTATTACAAAAGCCCCAAAAATGTCTAGCGAGGGCGGGGGGGTTATCGAGATGGGTGGTTGAAGATGCTGGAATATAATAAAAGTGTTCAAAAAAAAAGGGTCGACACTAGTAGGTATCTTCTTTTGTGTTTTTTTATAAAAAGAAGTATCCAAGGTAAGCTACCAAGAGGAGAAGAAAATGGAAAAGTTGGGCATAAGGCGGAACAAACTCGGACTATGAAGAAAGATGGGCGAAGGCAAAGATTTTATGATAAGGGGAAAGAAACCGGGTGGAGAAAGCTGGGTACGAAGAAGCGAAGTGTTGTTTCGGGAGGAATGTAAGGTCCGTCGAGTCACTAGCACAAATCAAACCTCGCAAACATACATGTATGATAGCGAAGTATATAGAAGCGCAATGAAAGATGGAAGTGTTTGTGTGTGGCGGGAAACGACATCTGAATCAAAGTCAAGGTGGGACTCAGGCCTTGAGGTGTTGAACCCCCATCCTAGGTACAGCTACCGATTATTGTTTTTTCTCTTCTTGCTAGACCCGAGTCACTACCTGGTAGGTAGGTAGGTAAGGTCCATCTCACCAATGACGTAGCTTAGTTGACCATAATGATTTTGGTGGTATGGCAGCGTTGCCAGCTAACCTGCCAGCATTGGATCGAGCTGTAGGTTAGGTTGTAGGTTAGGCTGCAGGTTGCAGGCTGCAGGTAAGGTATTGCACAATTTGTACAATACAATATAATACAATATGTATAATAGCTTGCTCTTCATTTGCTAGAGGGGCCAGATATAAAATGGACCAGTTGTGTTGCTACATTATATGTATTAGGTATAGATATGATGTGAATGAGTGAATGAATGGATGAATGATAAAAAAATTATTAAAAAAATAGGTCTTAGGCATGTCTTGGATTGCTTTGGGTGTTGCACAAATGCACTACACCCCAAGCGTCGAGTCATTGCAGTGCATCAAATCGCTTTGGGCAAGAAGATAATATGTAATTGGTCACTTCTCTGCCAGCTGACGTGAAAATGGCTTACGTAGCTGCGAAGTAAGGCAATGTCGCACTTGACAAGTCAGAGTGCCTGGGCAATGCATTCCGGATAGTACCTATTGTACCTTAGTAGAAGTCTTAAGGGGTCCTGCTGTTCCTGCTGTCTGGCTGGTTTTTCTAGGTACAGGCCTACTATGTCGTGCACCATCATCAGCTTGTGATTCGCCGATCTTACCGCTTGTCGGAGGGGTCTAGGGCCAACCAAAGCTGGCTAGAACTTAATCGACTAGGATTGCGATACCTCCAACCACATACACAACTTCTTATCAGTTGCATGTACAATACATCTTTCTGCTTTTTTTCTTCTTCTTCTGACAACGTTCTACAGAGGCACATCAACCTCTGCCTAATTCATCATTAACCCCAACCGAGTTATCGATTGAGGTCGCATCCATATTGAAAGCCTAGTAACGCGCAATCTTCAATTTGGTATCACTACTTGGGCATCATTGCCACGAAAGATGCCTGAGGTAAACGCCGCTCCCGCCGGGGATGCTCGGCAAGAGCAGCAAGGCGTAAGTTATCGCGTCACAATATTTCTTTTAATAGAAACTTGGAGCTGAAGCTAACATCGCCATCGCTAGTCGATAGTTGGAAAAATCGTCCAGGGTTTAGCTATATGGATTGGTATGCAATTGTTGATGAAGCAGTTGACAGGTGGCAGTAACAAGACTCAAACGGCCACCGTTAACGACGCATCTGGCAATACTGTCCAGGTTCCTGCGAATAATGGCGAGATACCCCCCTACCAGCTTCGTCCGCAGACTCTCGATGAAGGCGCCGTGTGGAGCTCTATTCCGCATCGGCTTGCACCCATCTGGCCTGATGATAGTGCTGTCGATATCATCGTTACGCTTTCGCCATCCTTTAAGCCAACCAAGATCTCTGATGTGCCGGAGGAGTATGTGGTACTTAGCGAGAAGAAGTTTAAGCTAAGCAACTCGAGTGACACTCGCGTCGCCGAAGGTACCTTCAATGTACCCTCGGCTGTTCAGAAGAATGGGACTCTTTGGGGACACTTCTATGTTGGACTGACGGGAGCTAATCTCGACCCTCACGAGCCGGGATTCGATCCCGCTAAGGCCTTCCATTTCGTGTACCCCATGACGCAATATATTCCAAAGAAGAAGGAAGCAAAAACCCGTAACTTGCTAGAGGGACGGCCTGAATCAGAAGCAGAAGAGGAACCCGAACAGCAAGTTGCTGGACCCATCATCGCAAATTACTATCATCCCAACACCAGTCTATCATTTATTTCTGGTATGGGTGTCTTGTCGTATCCCCAATTGCAACCGGCTGTCAGACAATTCGTTCAACTAGAGGTGAGTTGCTACCTTTGTTCAACCCAACCAGTTATGGTGATGCTAATATCTTATAGGCTACAGGTGCTCGTGATGGGTCCGGACAGAACTCGTGGTATTGTATGTTCGCTCTCTCTGATGTGGGTTGGTTTAGGTGAACAATTGAATGCTAACATATATTGCAGACCCTATTTTATACGTTAATACATTCTGGCAACTCAAGAGTCATATGACGCTTCTTAATGAAACGGTCAAAGCCCTACCCATACGCCTCGACCTAGGTAACTTAAAAGGCTTATATTTCAACCTCATGGCCACGATGGATTTCAATTCCAAGCAGCAGCAATTGCAAGCTGCGTATGATGCTCCTATGCCAGGTGGCGGTGACGGTAGCGAGATTGAAATGATCAAGGAGATGTTCTTGGACACGAACCCCTATCTCATCGGCGTGACGGCAGTGGTGAGCATTGCCCATCTCTTCCTTGAGATGCTCGCGTTCGGATCCGATATCGCCCATTACCGCAAGAAGAAGGACAACGTCGGTATCTCGGTTCGCTCTATCCTGGCTAACGTCTTTATGCAAACTGTTATCTTCCTATACCTAATCGACAACTCCCAAAATACCAGTTGGATGATTCTCGCTACCCAAGGTATTGGTATCTTCATCGAGTTCTGGAAGATCACTACGGTTGTGCATGTAAGAATCCGACCAGCTCCCCCGGGATCCTTAATACCGTATCGGATCGCGTTTGAAGATAAGTATAAGCTTAGTGAGACGGAAGAAAAGACGAAGGAGTACGATGAAATCGCGTTCAAGTACATGTACATCGCCGCGGTTCCTTTACTCATAGGCTATGCCATCTGGTCTCTGGTGTACGAATCTCACAAATCGTGGTACTCGTACATCCTCACGACCTTGGTAGGATCCGTGTACGCGTATGGTTTCTTGATGATGGTACCCTCGCTTTATATCAACTACCGACTTAAGAGCGTTGCACACATGCCCGGAAAAGCAATGCTTTACAAGTTCTTGAATACCTTTATCGACGATCTTTTTGCCTTTACCATCAAGATGCCGTTCTTGTACCGACTTGCCACGTTCCGAGACGATATCATCTTCTTCATCTACCTATACCAACGCTGGGCGTACAGAATTGACTATAGCAGAGTTAACGAGTTCGGCCAAGGCGGCGACGAAGAGCCCGAGGAGCCTAATGCCGAGCCTAAGTCGTTACCCAACGCCGAAGCTGTTGCCGAGAAAGTGGAAGCCACCGCAAAGGCCAGCGGTGCGGATAAGGGTTCAGCGAAGAAGAGGAAGTAGAAAAAAAGGATGCTATTTGCTGAAAATAACATGTGTCTGTGCGTCTTGGGGATACGAAACCATGAATGTTTAATGTAGACAGACATATAGAAACGAAATACCTCACTAGACGGAATTGTCCGAAGAGAAGGTACTCTAATTGCACTCAATAGTTATATTGTGTCGCACATCTTAATAATATTGTTTTGCATATAATTGCATGAGTTACTTGTTATGAATTTAGTATGAAGCATTTAATTACGCACATAATTCGTATGTTGGAGATATCCATGCGTATGGACAGGTGGGATATGTAATGTCGCCAATCACATGCATAACAGTAGGTACCTACCTACCTAAGGTATTGGCATATCAGCCCTACGCATATTTGCCTAATATTTCGCTAGTGGGAATTACCTAAACTTACCTACCTAGGTAGCGCGACCCAACAGTCCTACGCTAGGCCAAATATAAATTAATTAAATCCATGTGCGAAATCTGCCCCTCTGCCCCTATGGACACCAAGTGACCAAGCTAGGTAAGTACCTTGTACATTTATGTAGGTCCTACCTTGCCTGGTAGCTTCTGTTCCATGCTTTGTTGTACAAGTAACAGATTTCAGGACGAGAACGCAATTGCACCTGTCGTTTTCCTTGTTTTCCTCCTTTACAACACCTAGCATTCTGCTCTCCCCCTACCTTATAGAAGAACGAACTACTACTTAAATCACGGCCTGCGACGTTATGTAGACGACCGAAACACCTTGCTTCTTGAAACATCTCGATAACAGCACCTACATAAGGTATCTTATCTCCACCAACCCTTGCATCTCCCCATAACCCGGCTGCGAGTTGCCGGGCCCAAGTTTGTCTCCCCGAGCTTGAACTAATAAAACAGACTTACGCAGGTGGAAAGGTTCTATCGCCCTATTCTTTTTTTTAAGGTTCGGTAGTTCCGCGACGTCCCGCCAAAAAAAAGGAAAGAAAAAGGGGATCAAATAAAGTACACGGGACGTTCCTCGATTTGTTTGGGTTACATCCTACACCCTTACATCTCCTCTATCTTTAAAGCTTCTCATCCCACCCACCTTTTTAGAGGAAGACGGAGGAGGACGGGGGCAAGCTGTGCGTGCGTGTGCGTGCGTGTGTTTACGTTTGTTTGCAGAAGATTGGATTGCGTTCACGACGGGAAGCGGGAAGCACAAAAAGTACAGGCGACTAGCCGGTAATCTACGTATCACCCTCTCCGCCATTTTTGGGAGGAGAGAGTACAGATTCAAGGTAGGACATGAGCCAAGAGACCGTTGGTTCGCTCCTGGCCGTCATTGCGAACTCGCTTAACGATGGCCTGCGCATCTTGATGTTCGCCGACAAGCGGGAATGGGGTTCCGACGAGTTCGAGCAGCTACGTCTGCTCGAAGAAACCCTCGACGAGGCCAAGAAGGACTTCCAGGAACTGCCTGCTCTTGTCAATGGCAGGTTCTACTACGAGAATGACCGCATAGGTATGTCGATGAAGTATTCCCCCTTTCCATATATTCATACGTCTCTATCACATGTTCAATTTGCAACAACCTACATCGTCACCTATTACATCGTTACCTATATATTTTCCTATCTCTTGTTTCAAAACAAATCACCCCTCGCTAGCTCGCTCCCTGGAAGAGAGAGAAGTTGACCTAATAAGCCTAATTCTGCTTTTGCGGCCACAACAGACGAGACCCTCGAAGACCTCCGTATCCTATGCACGCGGTTCGAGCTACACGTACAGATGTTCCGAGACTGGGTGCGCCACGGCGGGCCCATCGACCCGTCTTGGGCCCTCGAGACGACGGCCCTCCGACGCGAGCTGCACCGGGCCCAGTGCCGCGCCGCCCGACGCATATACAGCGCGCAGCAGATCGAGACGTCGGCGGAGAGCGTGCGGTGCCTCGGCGCCCTACAGGTGTACCGCGTACAGAAGGGGCGCGACGTGCGCGTCGAGGACGAGCGCGCCGCCTGCGCGCAGACCGGCCACTTCGAACGCTACGCCGACAGGGACGTCGCGTTCGTCTGCGACTTCTGCGACGGCTTCCTCGTCTGGGAGGACCTGCGCGCGGTCCCCACCACGCGGATAAACCAGCCACCCCCACGCAACGACGACAGTCTCCCCGCGCCCGTCACGAGAGCGACAAGGCTTGACGATCCTAGGAGGAATAATAACGGCAACAAGGGCAACGGCAATGGCGAGGGCGAGGTCAGTCCCGCCGCGGCTAATTGGCAGGCCCGCGGCATCGCGCTCTCGAACGGCGAGCAGAAGACGATCATATTCGCACCGGTGGCCGTGGCGAACCACGTGCCGCCGGATATAGGGGAGTGGCAGTCGAGGATCCTATGTCCGCATTGCGACGAGTACTACTACGAAGAGCAAGGCGACAACGACATGGAGCGCATACGGCATACGCAAGGCCGGGGGTTCGAGACCGTAGCGGCTTTCCAGGAGCATCTGGAATGGAGCCACGCGTCCATGGTACCGAGTGCTTCGAGCTGCGCAGTTATGTGATTATTTTTTCTTTAAAAAAAGACAAAGAAATAGAAAGGGACGAATGGAAGATGAAAGGCTACCTAAATAAATACAGGAGGCGGGAGATTATTTTCGAAATTCCGGGTTGAAGCGGGTTTAATTATATCGCGGCGCGGCGTTCGGAAGGGCTGTGCATGTGCCATTGAGAAGAAATTGGGTTCTATTTACTACATACCTAAACCTAATCCATCGCAGGTCTTGAAGAAAAAAAGAAAAGAAAAGAAAAAGCAAAGGTGTTCCAGGCGTCTATGAAAAAGAAAGAAGGGATTCGACTGAGATACACCCTTACTTACATACCTAAGTACCTACCTAGATAGTATAGATATTTACCTATGATCGGAGCCTACAAGGGAGGAGAAAGTTACATAGAGTTAAGCATTCGATAAGACAAGCCGAGCTAAAGAAAAGGAACTCAGTTTCATAAGTTAGAGAGTTCTCTAGAGTTGGTCTGATTAGTTTGGATATTAAGACTATATGTTCGTTAGGGAGCTATTCTCATCAAGACTCCCCTGAACGGTGTAGTAAAGGTATCTAAAGCTACTGCACTACTTGAATTGAGTTCAATCGATGCATTTTTGATCATCGAACTCGTACTCGCTCCACCCCCTAACCCTCTCTCTCATACTGCTTCGTTGGTTGATACATGTCTGCGTATGAGGTATGTATGTGCAGGTATGCATGTATGTATGTATACACATAAGTCGGTCTAGGACTCTACGTACCTAGTTTCTCGTTTCTCGTTTCTTACTCTCCTTTCCTCACTAGCCAGCCAGCCAGCCAGCCACCGGTAACCGATTCCATGACAGACTCCATCAGAAGAACCGAAGCCAGACGAAGACTAGGACGATCAGGCCGAACACGCCGATGGGGGCGTACTGCTTGATGAGCAGGTCCCAGTTGATCTTGACGGCGGCGCGCCTGTACTTGCGGCTGTCGTCGCGCAGGCGGGAGCTCATCTCGCCCATGCGCTCGAGGCTGTCGCCGCGGTAGAGCAGGTCCTCGATGTTCTTGGTCATGACCTTGGTGACGTCGCGCAGCTCGTCGTTGAGGCGGCCGAGGCCCTGGGCGGCGCGGGCGTCGGCGTACAGCGCCTTGGTGCGCGCGATGAAGGTGTCGAAGTCCATGAACGCGTACGGCCGCAGCGACGGCGAGTGCAGCTGGTGCGCCGGGTGCGTCTGCGAGAATTCCGCCGACAGGTCCGAGAGGTACGTGAAGGCTAGCTTGCGCGGGTACGACCGCTCGCTGATGCAGATGTAGATTATGTCGTTGGCGATGAGGTAGCTGGGAGGGGGGGGGGGGACATTGGGGGTTAGTTGAGAGGCTTGAGAGGAGACGAGAAGAGAAGGGTCCGTTAGGTACATACTGGATTGTGTAGTTGCCGCTTTCGATGCTGGCTTGGGGTTCGGCGTTGCGGTTTAGTCGTCGTAGTATGATTTTCGTTTGCGACTTGACTTCGGAGAGGGAGGATTCTGACTGCGCGGTAGGAAGAAGACGGGTTAGCATAGTATAGGATAGGATACCTAGGTAGGTAATTGAAGAATGGGATCGTACCGGTTCATCATCAACGGATGCGCAGAGCATCAAGCCTGAATTGCTATATTATCAGTCGGAAGGCCAGGACGAGATATGGAGTATATGGTATAGTATAGTCAAGTGCATACCGTCGCCCAATCGGGCTATCTGTGTTGACCTGATCATCTTTTAGATGATGTGATTGCTTGGTGTTTTTTGGTAGCTACTGGAGAGGTAGATAGCGTCAAAGGGGGAGGGAAGAGCTAGGTATGTAGTTTACGTGTCTTAAAAGGGACAAACTGCGGATTGCTCTCCAATGATCAAATAAGTGAGGTAAAGTGAATTTAAAGAAACAAAAAAAATGATATGTCGTTGTTCTCGATTGATTTTTAAGAAATATAGCGGATGGTTAGTTAACGGAAATGAAAAGGTGTTATATTAGTTTGAGGCTATCTCCAATCCTTTCACTAATAATAAAAAAGTAACAAGTTCAACAGAGAGTTGATACCTGGTCAAGTTCAAAGTTGGTACTAATGCAACGTCAGGGAACTGCAAGGGCTGTGGAACCAAGCTAGTGAAGATCTCTTATCGATTACAAGGCGATGACGGACTAAAGCAAGCTTAGAATTGGCCTAAAATAGCAAGTACCTAAACCCACCTATCATGCGTGCCGTACCAACCGTAGGTACTTCCCTTTTAAGTCATACCGTTTTGTACCTAATTCATTCACTTTTATACCTTGGAGCCTCGCGACTGCCTCAGAATGATATATATGAGAGTACAATGACCAATAAAGCTTTGCGGCCAAATGAGCCGTTCCTCATCGCACATTCCTCCCGCTACTACTCTTTCCCTCATTAACCGATGTGATTAATATTCGCCGTATCTTAGGTACGGATTTCCCCGGTGCTTTTATGAATTAGTTGATTAATGCACACACTCACCCCATCTCGTCTTTAAACCTGTATCTGTATCTCTACCTCCACGCAACAGTATCATCTTCCCCTTCTTTCCCTTCTTTCCCTTACTACTTCACAAATCATCCAAATCATGCCTCCTCGAAAGAGAGGCAAAGATGCGACCGAAGAGAAAGTCGACGAACCCACCAGGAGATCAACTAGGGCATTGAAGAGATTCGCTCCTATACATAATGACTCCTCTTCGGAAGAACCATCTTCATCTTCTAAGGACCTAGCACTTCGAAGTCATGATCTAAAGCTTTCAGACACCGAGGATGTTGGCGACGTGATCAACGTTCGGGTTACCCGTTCCAAGTCACGTACGAGCAGCCGCCCGTCCACTGCCAAGAGTGATGCCACCTCTCAATCCCAAAAGATAAGGATTGTTGACGGCTCGTCTAAGATAGGAGACACGGACACGGGCATATTTAATGCCGTTGACAACGAAGACGGAGGTGAATTCGCTCTCGAGGGTCCGGCTCCGAAGAAGAGCAGACCCAACGCCAGCGAGACGTCCTCCAGTGGCCGAAAGGGGAGGTCCAAGTATGATAATGCTGATGAGATGCTCACAAATCCTCGCGCACCTCTAGCAACTGCCAAGCTCCGAGTAAGTTGAACGCCTACTTCTTACCTTAGCTACCTCCTTTATCAGGGCTATAGGTCTATAAGCCATTCCTCACATATATAACTACCTAACCCAAACTACATACTCACTCACGCCTTTGCTATTCCTACCTAAGTTATATACTAACCAAAGCCGTATAGCAACTACTCTGCAGCACACAAGCTTGGGACCTACTAAGTGCGGAGGAGAAGCAGCAAGTCCTAGCCAAGTTCCCGGACAGCAAGGAGATCCTCGACGCCGGGACGGAGAACGCACGGCCGGACATCGCTGCTCTCAGAAACAACAACAATTTTCGCCACGACATCGCGCGATACCAGGACGACCTGAGCAAAGGCTGGCACGATCCGGAGTGGATCCGACAAGCCCAGGCCGCGCATAGGAAGCGCGACGTCAGCTTTTACGACGAGTATCTCTCGGCCCGCTTCGAGGAGGACTGGGGCATAGAGGTACCTAAGGAGGAGGAGGAAGAGAAAGACCCGCAAGATGCGGAGGAGGAGGAGGAACTGGAGGTAAAAATACCGGAGAAAGCCGGTGATGCGCAGGAAGAACGACAGGAACGAGATGGCCTGGCGGAGAAGAACGGAGGGGACCAGGTATCGGCTGCGACGAAAGGAGTGGAGGACACCATTCGAGTGAATGCAGGGGAACCCTCGGACAAGAAAGCATCACCGGAGCAGGCTGGTACTGTTGAGGAAAATGGAGATGCTCAGAGAAGTCTTTGAAAGCGGCGATAACGATATAACACGCACGGCCGCTGTGATGATTTTGGCGAGGAGCGGTAATTGGACATTATGGGAATGAGATATAGCATGAAGTTTGGACGGCAGTTCTGATAATACTAGGCTGCCAGCAACATACGTCTGTCTGCCTCACTGAGGTTCAAGCATTGATTTACATATGACCTGGGTATCCTGCGTGCCTGTAGAATACCAAGAAATATTTTAGGATATCGAGGTACGCAAGCAAAGCAGAGGAAACCTATTTTTTAGGTACCTAAGGTGAACATGAAGGAGGTCCCTACTGCGCGACTACACTATAGATATCCCAAGATATCGTATAATCTCATTAAATTTCATGATCAATTCAGTTAGTTCATGTCATTTAGTTGTTAGGTACCTCTAAAATCTCATCTCATCTCCCCTCTCTCATTTTTTTATACATGTCTGAATGCGCTCGCTCCCCTTCCCCGTTATGATCAATCATCATCAATCAACACGCCTACCACCACTTCGCTCCCCCTCCCCCCACAGACAACGCATGCTATGTATGTATGTATCTATCCCCCTTCTTCTCTACTCTACCCTAGTTTCCGCTTCCCCTTCCACTCTCCGTCTTTGCTTTAGGTTGGGCTTTGGTTAATCCTCCCTATCCCTCACATTCACCAAGCACGGGCGCCTCGAATGCCACAAGCGCCTCTCCTTGGCGCCCAGGACCGCGTCCATCATGATCTCCGTCTCGGACCTTACCCTCTTGGCGCCATTGTCATCACCACCACCGTCATTGCCGCCATTCTCCTCCGGCACCCAGAGCTGCGTCTCCTCGACCGACGCCGAGATCTCGAACTCCCCGCGGCATAGCGGCGTTACGCCGAGCCGCACCTCCGCGCGGGACCGCGCCCCAACGAGCGGCAGGGACTGCTGCAGCGTGCCGTTCCACGCGAGCTTGCGCGTGAAGTCGAGCGCGACGTTGAGCGGGCGGTGGCGCAGCGCCGGCATGAGCCGGAGCGTGGGGTAGAACGGCTCGCCCATCCGGTTCGTGATCGAGACTCGGATCTGCGCGAACTCGTCCGTGAAGATCGTAGTCTTGTTCTTTCCCGTCTTCCCCGAGCCCCTTTCTTCTTCTCCTTCTCCTCCTTCTTGTTTGTCTTCGTCTTCTGCTTCCGGGTCCTCGACGGAAATATCGATGCCGACCTCGTCGATCTTAATCGCCTCGATCATGCGCGGCGCGAGACGGATACCCCTGAGCTCGATGCTGCCTTCCCTCGAAGGGCCGGACAAAGTCTTCCACGAACCCGACAGCTTTTCTAGGACCTTCTCGCGGTACCAGAACGCCTCACGGTTGCTGCGTTCTATTTCCGGTGTGATCTTGCTGCTACTAACAACAAATTGTCGTTGTCGCGAAGGGTTGAGAGCTGGGATTGATGCGTGGGGGTCTTCTATGTACACCCTTGGAACGGGGAAGACGACACGATTCGTATTCCCCGGTAAGATATGTTCTTTTATCATGATGCCGCTGTCCGCCTCGAGGCGGACTTCCATGTCGCTCGGCCAGGCATTGCGAAGATCTAGTAATAGGAGACAATAGTCTTCATCGGACAACGAGGACTCTATTTCGGTCGCCTCCCCGCCCACGCGAGACCAGATAGGCTTAGGTACAGCGCCAGTAAGTGGTAGTACGTCCATCCTCGCAAGTTCTATGCTAGCATTGACGGTGATAGTTAAGTCCAGACAGACTTGGCGGGTATGAAATTGTTCGGCGATTTCAGATTGCGGTACGCCAAGGTACGCGTAGTCGACCTGAATGGTCCCATTGGTGAGGCCCGGCTTTCCGAGGAGCTCGAACTCAAAGGTAGCTGTGCCTCCCGGTGCTATGTACCGCTTAGAATCGCCAACCTTCCGCAGCCGCAACGCCTGTTTCCTCGCGAGGATGAGCTCGTATTCGTATAGTTCTGCAGGGGTTGCATCCCTATCCGTCAAGGCTGTTTGGATGGGACCCTGTGTTGAATCTTGGAAGGAGAAAAGCAGAAGATCCGCCGGTGTGGTTTGTGATAAGTTTTGAAATGTTACGGAAAAGACCCGTCGTTCTCCTTCTAGAATCATCACCGAGTCCTGAAGAAGGGATGTAGACTTAACAGCTATAACGGGCTGTGCAGGAATCGCGCTCAACCCAATGCTGTCCAGGGTCAACGAAGGCCCGAAAAAAGGCAGCTTCTTGCTCTGCTCTAATGCAGCCAATCCGATCCCCTTAACCTTGGTTTCCGTATCCGGAGCCCACGGCTGAGGGAAGATGGGAAACCTTCTTTCGCGACATCCGCGTACCTTTACGATAGCCCCTTTAATCTTTAATGGGCCCGCGGCTCTAGGGGTCCCAGTAAGCTTCAGGATCTGCGTACGATACGGCCCGATTATTGTGCTTGTTCTAGATGACTCGAAATCGGCCCCCTCGGCATCCAGCCGGAGGCTTTCGATATCGACGTCGATTTCGTATGGATTTTGAAGTGTAACCCTAAAAACTGCTGCTTCGTCGGCAACGAGTGTCCCCTCCACCGCAGCCTTATCCGAATCTCTTAAAAATGGATTATAGATGAAAGGATTTACGTCTTGCGAAGTCCGCGCAGTTGTCACGCCAGGCAAGACATTCTTAGAATGTGGTATAGGGGTTCTAGTTTGCGGTAAAGGATCCATCGTGATGCCACGGACAAGAAATTCATCCCAGTATTCCGCAGAGAGTGTATCCAACCCTAACCTTTGAGATAAGCCGAACGTCTTCGAGATGTTATTTACCAACCTGACTTGTTCGTCTCTTGTAATTATCGGCGCTGCATCTTCCCTACGCGGCCCTGGCGCAACTCCGCTTCCAGCAGTGCGCAACAAATCGCTCGAGAACTTCAATACTCCATTGAAATCTGGTAAAGCTTCCGAGAAATTAATGCAAGCCCGAAGAACATTGAGCTTCAAATTCTGGAACCCAAATTGTCTAATTGCAGATTGACTCTGAATCCTCGATATGACTTCCTCGTCTGTGTCGCTCCCCTGGTCGGATTTAGGGGTTTCATGCGTGTCATTATCGAAGCCGACGACTCCGTAGATGTTGAATAGTTGCCCGAGGAATGCATCGATTCCATGCTCTATATCTCCCTCGCCAAGCTCTAGGCCTCCCGCACTACTGCTATGACCATTAATAGCGTTGAGAGCCACCAGGCCGGCTGCCGGATGGATACCAACTTCAGCGGCACCTCGTGTTCTTGCCTCAACTAGCCCTCCAATTAGTACCGACACCAATTCTCGCACCACCATGGCCTTTTTCCTATAAAATCCTAGTAAACCGAGGACGGTAGATATCCCACCAAGGATGATTGCACGGTCTACAGTTGTGAGCAACTCTGGCGCGGACGATGGAAAAGCCTTGAACAGCAAAGTTGCGATTTGGGAGCGGGGAGGTATAATAATTAAACGTGATGTGTTAGGAGGTTTTGCTGGTATATTGCCGAGGACAAGTTTTTCCAGTGCTTTTTTGTCAAGTCTGCCATCACACAGGTGAAGAATTGTGAGAAGGGTGCAGAACCTGATAATAGATTCGGAAAGTGGGAATGGGGGAAGTTGTTCGCCGGATATCCTCGAATATAGTGCTACTATTCTGTCAAGCAGGTCTGGTAGAATGGTTTGGAGGTGCCGTATGTGTTTTGGTTGTTCAGCATCGCCGTCTTCGAGTTCTGCTGGGCCTTTAGCTATGGCGCTGATCGACTTCTCGTTTGCAGGTAGGCATACCGCAGGGACTTGAAACTCGACTCCAACCCAGCCAAGTAAGAGTAGACAGACGATGATGAGTTCAAGCGCTTTGCCATGCCATAAATGATCATTGATAGACTTCGCGACAGTTGCGCCTTCGATCAGCTCTTTAAGTGCATCCGTCCACCGACCAGCCTGCAAATATAAGGACCCTACTAAAATTATTACTCGCCCTCGGTTTTTATTCCTTAACCTCTCGTTCGTACTACCGGACCCGAATCCCATTATTGAAACCCTGTCTTGATTTGCTGCTCTCGTCCCCCCGGCAGAACCTGGGCGAGGTATTTCCGGTGTTGGTACGGCGGGATCGCCCGCGTTCCCGCTCGTAATATCATCAAAAGTAGTTGGGGGGTTAGACAGCCCACTACGGACGGGGGTTGTAGGCCGTGCTGAAGGAGTCGAGCTATTGGATCCAAAAGGAAGCGACTTGAAAGGTACTGGCATAGACATACGAGCGTGGCTCCTATCCACGGTACTGCTAGTCGATGCCGACCTTGTAACGGCTGATATGGCATACTGCGAATTCCTCCGCGCGGCCGGATTCATATCGTCCGAAGTCCAAGACGCCCCATTAAGTCCCGGTCTAACAGGGGCTTGACCGGGCGAGTCTATGGTCGTCGTTCCTTCGAAGGACTTGGCAAGCGTGGTCATCTCCGCTAGCAACAAGGAAGATATGTCGCACATAATAGTTTTAACTGTAGTCCTCTTCGAGTTTTCCACCGGCGGAACTGTTTTGATACCCTCGGGAATGGGAACTGCACTGTCCGTCTGTGGCGCATAATCAAATATAAGTATTTGATGCGTAAGAATTTTTGGATATATGTCCCGTAGCTCCTCAAGCTCTTGGTACAAAGTCCTAATATTCCTCTCCACAATGGTCGGCGCAAAGCCATTGGCAGACTGTCTCTTGCTGAAGGTTACGTTTTCGAGCTCTTTGCCATCGGCAATAGCAATGAGTGCAAGCGGTTCTCGAAACAGCTCGAAGGGGGCGAGCGCAAGGTGGGACGGAGGCGGTATGTAGGTGATTAAATCGTAGAACATGGCGCCGTCCGGGAATGCGAGGGGGGTGAACATGTCTAGGAGAATAATATTAGTTTTGTGATCCTCCGGTGTAGATTATTTATGTAGATTATTTAGAGGCGGCTGCTTACTTCGATTCGGCCGCCCGTCGGCACTGATGTCGCGGAGTTGGACGACATGTTCCTCGTTTAGTCTTTGGACAAAAGACGTAAACCTGTCTCGCTTGATCTGGCCAACGGGCAAGACTAATGCTCGTACCCTCGCTGGGGCGATGGGTAACAAGGAGTCCAAGCTCATCCTAACATCTGCCGTAGCTTCTCACTAACATGACAGAACAACCGCATGCCTAAGGGCCCGGAGGCTAAGTCGGGACGAGTCGTGCGATTCGTTTGGCCCCTTTGCGCAACTCGAGTACGTCGCAAGCGTCGTCCAATATTAGAATTTTAGCATTTGTTTGATGTTGGCGTTATATATGAATAGGAAATTCGTAGGAATAGGAGCCAGGTTAGGTCAGGCGTCTAGGATTAGGTAATACGGGAGTTTAAAGGTAGACGTTTTATTGTAATTTTTTCGAATAGCGAAATCTTAGAAATGACGATGAAGTGCCTAAGCAGCCAAGCAAGTAACAAGATCAAGCTCCTGAGCCTTGTGCACCCGTTGGAAACATTGTACCAATTAGAATCTAGAAAAGAAGACATGGGTTATCCTAAACTTTAAAGGAGAAGGATATGTCCGGGGTTTAGAGTTAGGTACCTAAGTACCTGTAGGTACCTTACCTACTTAATGCTATAGCAAATTCCTAATTTTTAATTTTAATCTTATGTATTTCTCACAATTTATACTTATGCTCAGAATATTTAGATGACGTATGTACTAGAAGCTGAACTTGAAGACTGCAACGCGAAATATTTACCCAAGAGGTATATATACATACATACAAGTAAGTAAACCGTACAGCTAGACAGAGCTTATCCAATCCCAATCAACTCCCTACTACCACATACCTAATATAAAGATTGCATTCCAAATCCATCACGTCTATCGTTGTATTCGTACATGGTATCAACCTCTAGTATTTTTATATTTTCATTTCATGTCGACGTAAGACTTGGCGGACATCCCGACCCTTCGGCTTTTCCTTCAGCTTTTGCCTTACCTTGTGTAGCCTCGTTCTTCAATTCCGAGTCCAAAATATCCACAGCGAGACTCGCTTCGACGAAATCCTCCAGCTCTTCCGTTACCGTCTTTAATTTCTCCTTCACGGCTTCGGCCCCCTCAAAGCCGACAATGTGACGTGCCGGCGGATTCTCGTGTCCGCCGATGGCGGTGAGAGCGTATACCGTTTCGCCCACAAGGCGATCTATCGAAGAAGGGGGCAGCTTCGGGTATCTTTGCACGATTTCCGGATCCGAGGGGTCGACTGCTGTCTCAGGGTTTAAATTCAGCACGTTGGTGAGCATATCCCGGACACTCGGTGCCGGGTTATTCTCGCTGTCGTAATAAGGTAACGACGGAGAAAAAACAATCTTGTTAGTTAGAGACTGTATCTCCTTATGCGGTTGTACTATGGTGACTTTAATATTAAACGGCGCGACCTCGTAAGCTAGTGAATCGCAAAAGCCCTCCAGTGCCCACGTCGCCGCCGTATATATGGGCATTCCAGGCGTGCCTATGTGTCCGCCAAGACTTGTAAGGATCATAATGTGGCCGGTATGCTGCGCGCGGAACGTCGGAAGCGATGCTTTGATAAAATTTATTTGGGAGAAGAAAATGGTCTCGAACTGATCGCGCACAAGATTTTGCGTCGCCGGCGAGGTGGAAAGCTCCTCCACGGTCCCAACAATAGCTATTTGCAAATAATCATCTCGTAAGAACTTCGCTTTGCCCCGCGCAGGTATGGTATTTGCATACCTTCAGATGTGCAACATAACAGAATATCTATGCGACCAAACACATGCTTGGCCTCCGCCACGGCAGCACTGCATTGACCCATTACGCGGCCATCGCAACGTATACTCCTGATGCGGTCCTTCCACCCCTCCCGATCTTTGCGATTGCTCTTACACTCATTGACAAGCTCGCGGAATTCGGCGCTACGATCATCGTGCTCGATTTCTTGAGGCGGCAGACAAGCGACGACATAGTCGCCATGAGTTAGTAGTTGGCGTATCAATCGAACGGCCAGAGGGGTCAAGGACGAAGTTAAGAACCAAGTTCGCGGGGAATTGTGCGTCGCTACAACAACAGGATTCATTAGTCGGGATTCCGGTAACGCGGTAGGCATTTGGCCGAGAGAACAGGGATTAGCATCTCAAAACTGCACAATGTGAGGAAACAGAACAGTTCAAAATAAATTTGAAGAATAAAAGGTGTAGAGTGGATTCGATTCGCGCAAAGTCACGCAATGGACGAAAGGAAAGAGGGTAGGTTAGGTACTTAGAAGAAAAGAGAGCTTAGGTAAGGAGGTAGACAAGGTTGTATGTAGGTGTGTAGGTGTTAGTAAGGTAAAATATTAGGGGTTAAGTGTAGTAAAAGGCAAGGGCAAAGGGGCAAGTAAGAGGCAAATCTTTAGCTCAACGCACGGAAAGAAGCTGCAGGAACGGAGTGCGAATGCCGTGCTGGACCTGACGACTCGGCGTTCTTCCTTTCTGCCATTTCCACCTTTTTATTTTTTTTATTTTTCTATTTCTTTCCTTAACTATTTCTTATTCCTTGTTCCTTTCGTTCGCTGTAGACCGACTCTACCAGAGATTCGGCATGACACCGCACCGATCGATCGTACCAGGAAGAGATCGAAATGGACAATCAATTTTGCTATGACAATATATCAAAGTTCTTTTCCTGCTCGCATCACAAGAGTGGAGAATTGGTTGCTTTACGCTGATGCCAAAAGGAAAGGTCGACAGAGCTAACAATAGTGGTCTATGAAGACAGACTAAACAACTCATAAAGCGGGTATATTATGTCGTCTTATTACAGCATGCACATATTCGTTAGGTCTGTATGTTCGGTGACAGCCTCCCCTACCTTTGTACTGATCGGTTTACCTCGCCTCTAACTCCCCTAATTGGGGTCTTTTGTGCCTCGCCCGGCAGTTGTCATATCCCGAAAGGGTCAAAACGAAACCCGCAGGGACATTATTGACCCCACCGCATATGCTACAGCCGTCTGGGAAAGGCGGGTATAAGAACTATGGCAAGTGGAAGCATTGATCCTATAAGCTGAGGTCGAACGAGGACAAACAGCCCCGGGACGAACAAATTCCGTTTGGTACCAGACTTGAGGGACGGGGTGTCAGGTACCACGCCATGCCCTGTAATGACTGAGTAATAGTAATAATTCGATAAGTCCTTAGTATCCTTGGAAGTTTGGGGGATTCTCCGGGATCTTCAGCAGGGCCGAGGTTGTAGTGTCAGTTCAAGTTTCGGCAGCCATCTCGGATATCATTGATGCAATGCAACGGCACCCCAATATAGTATCACGTCGTGTCTCTACCGTTTTTTGTTGCGGTCCCCTCTTTTATTTAGTCGAATCTGGGGAAACCTTGGCCAACATCATCCTGGATAGGTACCGATCGGGTTTTTTATTTCGTAGAGTACCCCATCCACACGGGTGTGTAGTATCAAGCGTGCAATAAGTACGATACGGTCCGTTGTACAAGACTCGTCGTTTAAAGATGCTGCGCAATTTAACGTGAACATCACTGTGGAGATTGCACTAGGTACATAGTAGCTAGGAACACCTAGTGTTGAAGCCGGCGATAATTGGTAATATTGTTTATTTTGGTGTTTATTTTAGTAGTATTTAGTATTCAGATAAGTTCTAGGTTAGACTGCAAGCTAACGGTTAATAAGTGTGCCTACCTGGTAATGGCAAGTTCCGACCTCGGGGGAAGGAGAAACGGTCGCTTCGGGTTGTCACCTGTTTTCACTTGTAAACCACGACTTATCCAGTCAGAACCTCGGATGACTCAGCTCTGTGTGTTCTTTGGACTTGAACTGGTTTCATTTTTTTATACTCTCACGATAATCCCCCCTTATCAATTAATATCATAAAGTTTAGTTTCATTTTTGTTTCTTTTAGTAGAATATTATTTACTATTCTCAGCAGCCCGATCACAAAATGCCCTCCAGGGCTGACATCACATACTTCGGCGCCGGGCCGGCCTTGCTACCCACCTCCGTACTCGAGAATGCCGCGCAGGCTCTTTTGAATTACAAGGATACGGGGTTGGGCATTGCCGAGCACTCACATCGTTCTCAATATGCTGCCGATATCATTAACCAGGCGAAGGCCGATCTGGCTACCTATCTCGATATCCCCGAGGACTATGAGATTCTCTTCATGCAAGGCGGTGGCACTGGTGAATTCTCCTGCACCCTCTACAACCTGGTCGGCGCCTGGGTAACTAGGAAAAAGGGCGAGATTCTGAAGCAGTTAGGCGTTCAGAGCGAAGAGGAAGCCAACCAGGAAGAGCTGGTATCGGCGCTGAAAAAGGCCGTCGATACCGAGCTGAAGGTCGACTACCTAGTAACGGGCGGATGGTCGTTAAAAGCCTACCAAGAAGCCGGCCGTCTTCTAGGCCCGGAATTCACCAACCTGGCTACTGATTCGCGGACCGTGAACGGGGGGAAATTCGGAAAGATCCCCGATGAGAGCACGTGGAAGCTTTCCAAAGATGCTGCTATGGTGTACTACTGCGACAACGAGACCGTGGACGGCGTCGAGTTCCCTAAGTTCCCGGACTCTCTTGCGCCCAGCGCGAACGGCGAGGGCCCCATCGTCGTGGCCGATATGTCCTCGAACATCCTGTCGCGGAGAATCCCCGTCAAGAACTTCTCGGTTATCTTCTTCGGCGCGCAGAAGAACCTCGGCTCGACGGGAGTCACCGTCGTCATCATCAAGAAGAGCCTGCTCCCGCCAGCGTGCCCGCAGCCCTCGCCGGCGTTGCTGAGGAAGCTCGGTCTCCCGGTCCCGCCGATTATTTTCTCTTACGAGACTATTGCCAAGAATAACAGCTTGTATAACACGCTTAGCATTTTTGAGTACGAACGCCCCACTAGTTATTGATTTGTTTATGCGATTGGAGATGTCTAACTTGTAATGATGCAGTGTATATATTGCCGGCCAAGTCCTGAAAAAGCTGCTCGCTTCGTTCCCGGATAAGGTCGACGGCCAGCAAGCTGTCGCCGACCAAAAGGCGGACATCATCTACAAGGCCCTCGAAGCACATCCAAACATCTACAGGATCGTCCCGGATAAGTCGGTACGCTCTAGGATGAATATTTGTTTCCGCGTGACTATCGTAAGTAAATATTCAATTTTCATGCATTTTTATGGCCAATCATTGTTAACCCCAGCTTTAGAACAACGACACGGACGGCGCCGAGGCCAGATTCTTGAAAGAAGCCGCCGCTATCGGGCTCACCGGCTTGAAGGGGCACCGAAGCGTCGGAGGCATCCGTGCTAGCAATTATAATTCAATCCCGCTTGCTGGTGCTCAGAAGCTAGCTGATTTCATAAACAACTTTGCTACAACCCAAGCTTGAGAACTTCGTGTACGGAGATAGTGGTAGGAGCAAGTACGGTTGGTCTAGGGGTAAAAATGAATTCGCTTCTGGTTGGTGCCGATTGTTTTCGCATAGCGTGGTATGGCAGAGAGGGCGAGACTAAAAGCATTCAACATGGGAATTGGGTCGCGATACCGGTAAAGATAAAAAAGAAACTCTCTCAACTATAGAAATCCTACATCATAGGTGGGTAGGCTAGTTAGACGTACGATATGTAGGTACCTATGTATGTACTTTTCATCTAGGCGTCACTATATAATCAACGATATTCCTCGCCTATCTTCCGTCAATGGTTACCGGAACAGGTACCTATGCTTCCAACTCATCTTTCAACCACCCCGGAATCTGCGGCGGTTTCTCCCACCCGTCCAAGTACGTCTCTTTCGGAACGCCTTCGCCGGAGGGCTTAGCATAGATCGCCGAGATATACGAGACGGTCTCGCCTTTCTTAATAGTATGTTGGAGGGTTGGGATAACCGTCCTGCTCGCCACCAAATTGGAGTTCGGATCGGCATTAACCAGATTCGCGGCACGCTCAACGCCGCTTTCCAACGCCTTGATCCCCACGGCTCCCCTGGACACCGCGAACGCGCCCTGCTTGCCCGCGGCCCAGCCGTCGGGCGTGTTGAGGTCGTAGTTCCCGATGATCTTGGGGGACGTGCCCTCGGCCTTCCACGCGTCGTACAGGTCTAGGTACCGCCCGTCGGCCGCGCGCTCGTTGCTGATCGCGAATGACCCGTCGGCCGTCATGACCTCGCGGCCGGCCTCGATGCGGTGCGCGCGGAGGTGCCAGTTCGGCGTGGCCGGGTCGGGCGGGACGAGGGTGGTCCGCACGGCGACGTCGGGGAACGGGTTCCAGATGGACACTAGGACGGGGGTGCTCCCGCGGTGCTCGAGGGCGGCGTACGCGCACTTTCTTCGCGTCTTCCAGTACTCCCCGCCGTCGTCGGAGAACCCGAGCTGCGAGGCTAGGGCGTACTGCTCCAAGGTGAAGAGACCCGGGGGCACGGAATACGCGTATGCGCTGCTGTATGCGAAGGAGCCGTATTTGGCATGCGTGCCTTTCATAGGATAGCTACAGGCTTGGCCGGATGAGAGAAGCATGCAGTGCCCGCCGAGGTAGCTAATTGGAGATGGACTGTTAGAAAAAATGTCGGTATAGGGGTGTGCTATGGTGCTTACCTCGCGATATGGCCTGGTTGTGGTAGTGCTTTTATCTTCGGGATGGCATCTCCGGGAAACTGCTCCTCAGACGTCCAGAAGGGGTGGTCCTCAGGCACGGCTAAGCAGATGAATGCTAAACAAGCCCAGTACTTTAGTTGTTGTTAGCATGAATGTATTTAAAAAGAGCCCATAAGGACTTACTGGGCTGCCAGGGCTGTTGTAATTCTCCGCCATCTATACATTGTAAGCGAACTCTAGGTCCCATCAATAAGGGACGAGGGGGGTTACTTACATACATATTTGGGTAAGAGTACCCAATAGTTAATGTTCCGCTTGGGCTCCAAATATCTGGTTGTGTCTGCCACCATCGCAGGTGTCGTAGAACTACGCCCTTGACCATGCCCCATGTAAGGGGCTCGGGCAACTCGACTCCGGCATATGCTAAGGCACCCCAGAAAGACACCATCGCAAATCGATAGCCCACGCTGCGACCAAAGGGGATAGAACGACCTGAATAAAACGGTCAAGTTTTAGAAGAATTGAGTACCTAACTTAGGGTAAGTGTGTTCTCACCTTCATTGTCGTAGTAGTGAATCAAGTCAAGAGCAACCTGCTGAGCGCGCTTTTTGAATTCTTCGGCCCTAGCAGGCTCGTCTTCTCCAGCTAGCTTCGCATACAGGAGCTGCAAAAACTGAATGGCGAAGCTAGAAGAGTAATAGTCCATTTCTGTCGAGAGAATTATAAGTCTTAGTTGAAATTATGGGGAATATCCAAACTCACGATGGATACCCTCCGGTCCATCATTCGACCAGCCACCACCTCGATAGAAGGTGTTAAGATGTTCAATGTCACGGTCCAGTCTTTCCTGCGAGAATTTGCCTCCATTCTTTTTCAGTCCAAGGTTTGCGAAAACGCGAAACCAGAGCCAATTTGTATTAGGCATGCTGGAATTGTGTTAGTTATATCACTTCAGGACCACTATATATATGTCTTACTTCTTCTCATTGATCGAGTTTCCCAGCCAGTTCTCAACATTTTCTCGCTCCTTCTCGTTGAAGGATTGCCAGATAACGGGAGCGACGGCCAAAGCATAACCTGTTTCAAGATTAGCTTGTATCTTAAAATTCGAAATGAGCATCTTACCAAGAGGGCACATCTCCACCATCCTCTGATCATTGTCTCGAGGATATCCCCAATATTCGGGATTCTCAGGGTCGGTGCCTGACTTTATCCCCTGAATCCACCATTCGGTCCCGTGATACTCACCACCTCCTGCCAATAAGCATGCCAGGCCCCATAGTGGTCTACATATACCTTCCACCTCAGAAGCCGTTTGGTCAAATCTAACAGCCGTGGCACCAGGGCACTTCACCCTAGCTTTCAACGGTGAGAAGAACGGTTCGAGGGGATCCAAGAGGGTCCTCAAAAGCTCCTGGACGGAAGTGCGATCGAATATTTTAACCTTGGAAAAGGGGTGGATGCCATTATAGCCAAGAACGAGGCCGGCCTTAGGCTCCATGATACTACCAGCTTATAGAAAGAGTAACTAGCTGAAACCTACAGAAGAAGAAGAAACTAGAAAAAAGATTCCTAACCTACCGTTTTCTTCTCCAGGCCACTTCTGTTAAACTTACCTAACTTCTATCCTACGCGGGGTTTCGCATCGACAAGTCGACATACAATATCGCGAGTATGAGGGGGTCCCTTAAGGGGGCAGCTTTGTGGGGTGATGGTAAGACTCGCGGCTAATATTATAGATTGAACTCCTCATTGAATCTCCACCAATTAACGCAATTGAAAAAACAAAACAACTTCGGGTTTTAGCAGAGAGGGCTGAAAAGATATTAAAATGCGGAGTTCGTTGGGGAACGTGCAGGATGCGGGGGATGAGGGATGGGAACTGGCCCCCTGGAATACTTTCAAAGTATTGTATTGTATTGTACAGTACCAACTAACATGCCTTTTAAAAGCTGGGCATATTTAAACCGAGGTTCTGTTGCTACCTATGAAATAGATAATCTTATACCTAACCTTAGGTAAGTAGTAAGATCTTAAGTTGAGATAAATAACAAAATTGGAAAATAAAGTGTATCCAGATACCTGTTAATTATTAGAATAAGTACATGGTTCTTTGTATGTAGGACTTGAAGACAACCACCGGTTTACCCCATCAAGAATATCCCTTGTCTTACCTAGACCCGAAGCAACAGCGCCGCGGGTACCTTTTTTGGAATGAAATTGGAAGGATCGGACTCATCGGAGGTTCTCTTTACCATGTCTACATGTATATGCGAGCTCTCAGCTCCAAGAGATTCAACTCAAAGCTGACCAACATCTTGAAAAGTTTAAATCACCCTTAAAAAAAGATGACTTCTGTTCCAATTCCAAGAAAGCTTTGGGAGCATCCCAATCCCGAAAAGACCCAGATGCATGAGTTTATGCAGCGGCTCAACAAAAAGCACGGCCTAAACCTCAAGGTCAGCTTGATCCATAACATAAAAAGCAAGTCGAAACACGGCATATTCGCTAACAGTTTTCAGACTTTCCAAGACTTGTATCAATTTTCTGTTACTAAGCGTTCTGATTTCTACGTCGAGGTCTTCGAGCATACTAATATACTCTACACCGGTTCATACACGAGAGCGGTAGATGAGAGTAAGCCAATTGATGCCATCCCGCGTTGGTTCGAGGGCGTTCACCTTAATTTCGCCGAAAATCTTCTGTGGTCTCGAGGGCCCAAGGACCCTATCGACTACCACGGAAAGGTAGGAAAAGAAGATACTAAGATCGCCTTGACCGAAGTCCGGGAGGGCGTGAGCGGGATCAGACATGTTACATGGGCGACGCTTCGAAAGCTTGTAGCTCTCTATGTATCCGCCTTATACAACGGTGGAGTAAGGCGAGGTGACCGAATTGTTGTCGTTGGGTCTAACAGTGTTGAGACTCTGGTACTCTTTGCTGCCACAGGATGGCTAGGTGCCATCTTCAGTAGTAGCTCAACCGACATGGGCGTCCAGGGCATCTTGCAAAGAACAGTACAAGTAAACCCAAAGGTAGGAAGGATTCACCCCTCTGATAGTCAGCCAGCTTGCTCATCAATTATAGTATGTTTTCATGGACGATGCAGCTCTATACAACGGGAAGCGAGTGGATTTGCGCTCAAAGATGGCCGAAGTTGTGTCGGGGATGAAAGAATGTGACCTATTTTCAGGGCTGGTTTCGATCCGTCGTTTCCACGATGCACTTGATATAAGCAAGATACCCAAGGTCCAAACGTTAAGTTCGTTCCTTGAAAAAGGCGACCAACACTCTCCTCCACCAATTGAACGGATTGCGTTTCACGAGCCTTTCCTCATCGGATACTCCTCAGGAACTACAGGCATACCTAAAGCTATTGTCCACTCTGTTGGTGGTGCTCTTCTGAATTACATGAAGGAGACCCGCCTTCACGAGGATAGTGACTCGAGCACCGTCACTCTACAATACACGACTACAGGGTGGATTATGTACTTAGTGTGCGTTGGCCAGCTTCTGGTCGGCGCACGCGTCGTCTTATACGACGGGTCCCCCTTTCAGCCCGATATCCAGACTTTCATCAAGTTGATTGGCGACCAGAAAGTGACCAAGTTTGGTACTAGCCCACGGTGGTTCTACGAGGTTGCTAGGGCGGGAATATCACCCAGAGAAATTGCAGACTTGTCAAATCTTCGAACAGTGTCAAGTACCGGCATGGTACTCCCGGATCAGCTGTTTGAGTGGTTCTATGACAAAGGGTTCCCAACTCATGTCCACTTGAACAATATATCTGGCGGAACTGATATTGTAAGATCAACACCCGGCAGATGTGGTCAACAGGTACTGACTTAATACTAGGCCGGCTGTTTTGGAATCGGCAATCCGCTTACTCCCGTCTACGTAGGCGGAACGCAAGGCGTTTCCCTTGGGGTCAAGGTAGCCTTGTACGACTCATTGCTCCCTCCCGGGCCAGGAAAGGAGGTACCAGACGGAACGCCCGGCGAACTTGTGGCTACTGAGTCGTTCCCAAACGTGCCGATATATTTATGGGGTGACAGGACTGCGACAGGTGTTCCTGGCCCGAAGTTCCACTCGGCTTATTTTGCAAGATTCGACCACGTATGGGCACACGGTGATTTCTGCGTTTTCCATCCCGTCACCAAAAACCTCACGTTCCTCGGAAGAGCCGATGGCGTTCTGAACCCCAGCGGCGTGCGGTTCGGCTCCGCAGAAATCTACTCGGTCATCGAGAGAAACTTTGCAGATATAGTGGCGGATTCCATATGCGTCGGGCAGAGGCGGCCGCAAGATAGCGACGAGAGCGTGATGCTGTTCTTGTTGATGAGGCCGGGCCACAAGTTCGACAGAAAACTCGTAAACGAAGTCAAAGAGGCTATCAAGAGAGAATTAACCAAGAGGCACGTTCCTAAATACGTGTTTGAGACTCCCGAGATACCCGTAAGTGGAACAAATTCGCCTTTGTATACGAATGCTCCAGTATGCTGATTTAGAACTTAGACGACGGTCAACCTGAAGAAAGTCGAGTTGCCGGTCAAACAGATTGTGTCGGGTCAAATCGTCAAGCCGAGCGGCACGTTGCTGAACCCGAAGAGTTTAGACTATTACTACCGGTTTTCTAAGGTCGAAGACCTCGTAGCACCTAAGGAGAAGCTTTAGAACGAAACATACGGGACTCCGCATGAGACATTCAATACTTGCAATATAAGCGCTGTAACTGCAATTGACTTTGTTTTGACTTGTGAAGGCAAATAGGGGCAGATAGGGGCATTCCGTGTCCTGAGGATGTTTGATTTTAGTTTTGATTCCGGATCCGTGAGGTTTCCACACCAAACTATCTGATTATGTGTTTTCGTTGCGGTTAATGGATCAGAATAACAGACAGAACGGATATGCCTGATGAATCGGCAATTTGTCATGAGAGCGGACTCGTCGGCCGATCTGGATACTACCGTACATACATACCAGGTATGTACATCGTATGTAGGATTTTATTACATTCCGAACTGTGACATGTACACGGGCATCTGTGTAGGACGGCATAGTTTCCGCTTGAACCTGTGTAAAGTATTATTGATCACCTAGAAAATCAGACGGGTTCATACTTGTACAATTCATACTTCTTGTTGTACAAGTAGGAAGTATTTATCGTAAAAATCCATGCATCGGGAGCCCGGGACCGTCTAATCCAGGTACCTACCCCGTATGTCCCTTATGCCTCTTATGCATATTTCCAGCCCAATGAAACACCTCTTACGATGAAGTTGTTGATGTTTATTGGTGATTTGATCTAATGGTAAAGAAATTATAAAATCAGGTATGGAAACTGTAATATCAATTACTCTAGTTATACTTAGACACCCGAGATAGTTTTAAAGCCGGAGGTCTTAGTTACCTTCCGTTAGGTGGGTACCTTACAACCTAGGTATCGTTTACCTTAGGAGGTAGGTATCTATCTACGACTTACCCCTCGCGGTTCGACAAGACACGATCTTATGTAATTTTCTTACCTTTTATTAGGCCTTTAGTAGATATGGCAAGTTACAGGTAGGTAAGGTAGGTGTTGTGCATATTACATAGGTACGTACCTAATAAGAAGGGGCTAATGTCACGCTACGGATAGCAGGAACTCAAACAATAGGTGCCACTCTCGCGAATATGAGAACCAATTACAATAATCTTGCTGCAATTCAGACGCAGCGTGTTCTTGCCGTAGCTGCATCTTATCAGCCACCTACCTGGTAGGTATATGTACAATACTCTAGGCACATGCTGCAAAGGTAAGGATCCACCAGCGTACTTAAGGCCCAACGCCATTGAGTTTTACGGGTACGTTATGTACAATACCTTAGGTACCTACCTAAGTACACATCTCTTCAGATCACCTTTAGAGTTTAGGAGGTAGGTACCTCCGGGTACTGTAGAGTAATTACGTAAGCTATGGCAATTACAGGTAGTTACTGAGTTTTACTGGGCAAGGCCCATTACTAGTGAATGTTAAATGGTAAATTTTAAATTGTACCAACAATACAATGCCTCCAGCATTTGAACGAATGTAGGTAGAGGTAGGTAACAGCACAGGTGTTTTTATGTCTGCCGACACATACATTAGGTACCTACCTAATACATGTAAAGGTACCTATTGTTAGGTATTGTACATGCCTAAAGGTTAGGTACACTTACTACATTTACTGCATGCAATCCACCTTTGGTTACGCCCCTCCGCCTTCCATTCCACATTTAGGTAGTTCTCCATCCACTCTGCCACTCCATTCGTTCCACTCGTTCATCTACCTACCTACTCTATGGATTGCCACATATCTTTACAAGTAAAGAAAGTACCCAGTCTACCTTCTACTCAAGTCTTGATGCCCGTAACTTCTCCCAAGAGACGACTCGGACTTCTCCCGAATCTAGTTCCTCAATTTACTTCTCATCAAAGCTTCGCATTATTTTACTATCTCCTTCCTCGTGCACAATCGACAAGCCTTAAAAAGGCCATTAATCCCGTTTCTTCTTGCCCGCTCTTCGACGCTCTTCGGGCGTAACAAGCACGGTCACACGTCATATACCTGCTTCAAAGCAGACGCAATCAATTAGTCATTTGACAACGGAAATTCTCGGTCTGGGGGATGCTATCTGAAAAGAACTCGGGTTCCCAGCACTCCTAGCACTACTAGCACTTCTAGCACTTCTAGCATTTCAAAGGATTTTAGCAGCTTTTAGTTAGGTTGGACGTTGTTAGATTCACGGTCCACCTGGCATGAGGTCAGCCACTACTTTGCAGTAAAGCCATCCATGCCGAGTCCTGTCATCCAAATTTAATAAGAACGTCGCCTCTTATTTCTTACTGCTGCTTTCTCTCATCTTAATCACCGAAAGCTACATACACCCCGCGTCTACGGTCTTAGTACGGCCCACGGTCCACGGTCCACGGTCCACGGTCCACGGTCTACGGTCTACGGTCTACGGTCTACGGTCTACGGTCTACGACGACGGCATTTACCTCGACATTTACTTTACCTAACCGAGGTATTCCTAACAATCTCTTACCACCCGAATCTAAGCTCACTTCTGCGGTCCAACCGTGCTTCTCTTCCCTTCGAAACTGCGGGTTAGAAATACCCGCAGTATCAAGTAGCGAGTCGAAGTGGCAGACCAAACCCCCCAACAACTTCCATCCACCCCATCCGCCTCCGACTACCCATCCACGCTGCAACCTCCTCGACCTCCCTCCAATACAGCTTTCTCGGCCCCCGCAGCGACTATACCACCCGCAGACATAGCAAGTCACGACCCTTCGTCTAACTCTGATATCGTGTCTGGTGCTCAGGAACACCAATTAGCCGATTCTTCTGCACTAAGCCGAATTCTAGGGAGAAGACAACGAGCTCCAGACGACGATAACGACGTCGCCGGCTCGCAGTCGGAGCTCCCGGAAGCTCACGCTTCCCATACCATTTCTATCGACAGTCCTAGAAGGAAACGCAGACGTGCTAATAGTACAATGTTAGCGGATACAGACAGGCCGGCAGCATCTAATGGCACCCCGAAGCCTTACGCTAATGGGAAGTCGCTTTGGGGGTCCTCGGTATCGAGTCCGGCTAATGGGACTAGCAAGGGAACCTCGGGAGTTAATGGCTCTTCCAAAGCGCGACAGTCGGAAACGTATTTCGGCCATGATCGCGAAGAGGTAACAAGGTTGTTATTACAAGCGCTCACGGACATGGGTTACCACTCTGCAGCGCAAAGTGTGAGCCAGGAGAGTGGCTATGAGCTGGAAAATCCGATAGTTGCGGCCTTCAGAAATGCTATACTCGGAGGAAACTGGAACGAAGCCGAGCAGCTACTTTCCGGAGCTGTGGTATCTGGCAGCCGGGTTGGTGAGAATGGCAATAAGTTAGTGTTGGCACATGAAGCGGATAAGCGGATGATGAAGTTCTGGATACGACAGCAGAAATTCTTGGAATACCTAGAGAAAAAAGAAACCGGTCGCGCCCTAATGGTATTAAGGAACGAACTGACACCATTATATCAAGACACTCAAAAACTCCGCTTCTTATCTAGCTTGTTGATGTGTCAAAAGACGGAAGATATGAAGTTCAAAGCCGAATGGGATGGTGCATACGGAGAATCTCGGCGTGTTCTCTTATCACAATTATCAAGTAAGTCCGGGCGGATTTTTTTTTTTTAAAAAAAAGGAAAAAAAGATTTTATACACGGGACACGTTCCGCTAACGCTCATTGCCAGAATGTATCTCCCCTTCAGTCATGCTCCCAGAGCATCGCCTGTCGGTACTTTTACATCAAGTTAAAGATTTTCAGATTGGAAATTGCCTCTGGCATTCCAGCGATTCTTCTCCGTCATTATATTCAGATCATTTATGCGACCGAAGACGATTCCCGTCAGAAAACGTTTTAGAACTAGACGAGCACGAGGATCAGGTCTGGCAAGTCAAATTTTCTCATGATGGGACGAAGCTGGCTAGTTGCGGCAAGGGCAAGCAGGCTATTATCTGGGATGTCCCGTCTTTTCGCCTGCTTCATTATCTTAGGAATCACGATGACGGGGTTGGTAATGTCTCTTGGAGTTGGGATGATTCCATGCTGGTCACATGTAGTCAGGACCGACATGCTCGGTTATGGGATGTTAATGTGAGTTTCCGTGGTTCACCTCTCTTTAGGATCCAGCGACGCAGCTAACGGATGTAGACGGGCGCGTGTCTCAAAACGTTCGACCGATGCCAAGAGCCAGTTACCAGTTGCGTGTGGGCGACAGATAGTAAATCTTTTGTCACGGGCGCACTCGATAAAACCAACAGTCTCATTCAATGGAGCATTTCGGGAGAGAAGATCTACGACTGGAACTGTGGTCACAGAGTTGAAGATTTGACTATCTCACCGGATGGGCGCTGGCTGGTGGCATCTGATGGTGGAACGTATATCCACGTTTACAATTTCGTTACGCGTCAACTAGAGTATGAGATGGATCTGCAAGTCAGATTAACATCGATAAGCATCAGCAAAAACTCTCGCCATCTCTTGGTCAATCACAATAATGGCGTTGCGCAACTTATTGATCTACTTCGCCGTGAACCGATTCAAAATTACGCAGGTTTTACTGGCGGAAACTATATGATAAGGAGTGCTTTCGGGGGAGCTGACGAAAGCTTCGTGATCAGTGGAAGCGAAGGTAGGTTTCTTTTTCTTCTTTTATTATTGATATGGATCTTGCGACTGACTTCAGTAATAGACGGGTCGATCAACGTCTGGCACAAGGCCAGTGCTCAATTAGTACAGAAGCTTCAAGGACATATCCCCGGATGCAATGCGGTCTCGTGGAACCCTGCCGATCCGTGCATGTTCGCCTCGTGTGGAGACGATGGTAAAATCAAGATGTATGTGCCCTTTTGTTACAATACCAAATTCGTGATTTTGGGTGGGGGGGCTAACTTCGTACAGATGGTCTAATAACGAGTGGCGTCATGCTCAACGAGAGGAAAACCGGACTTTAGCCAGCTCTTAATGAATAGTAGCTAGGTTATATTCGAGACGTTTGATTTTATAGTACAAGTGCTTGCATGGGGCCGGCGTAATTTGGATGGTGGCATGGTGCTTCTCCCCGGTCTCTGGCGACTTAAGATAACTTGGGATGCCACCGTACAAGAGACGCCTTTCCGATGGCGTTTTGTTTTTGTTTTTTTAATTATGCGGTGTATCAATGCAGAATATCTTTGATTTCAAGGGTCCGAAACCTTTTTTTTTGGGGGGGGGGGGGGGGGGGGGGGGGGGGTAGGGGGGTTTGCAGTTTATTTTTGGTTGCCTTAAATGCGAAATAATTTAAACCCGGGAAATGGCATTTAAAAAATTTGGAATTACAA